GGTTGTCGCTGGTCAACGAGCCGTATCGGCGGGGCGTGCCAATGGGGTCCATCGTCATCGAGCGTGCGAAGGATGGACTCGCGCCTGGCTCAGGCGTTCCGATAGCAGAGGGCGCCAGTTTGGCGATGATGAGGTGGAGTGGTGGCGTGGAGAGTTGCGATTAGTGAAGGTAAGGGCTGACTTTTTGAAAGCCGTGATAATTCCGGTGGAAAATTGACGGCGACGTCAATGCAGCAATTTCTTCGGGGCCGGCGCCGACAACGACGGTGGACTGCTTCTTATGGAGTGCTCGAGTAAGGGTTGCTGCCTGTGACCCAGGTCGATGGCGCCGCAGATGCAGTGAACGGGCAGGTGGCGGCGACGGCGGTTGCGATGTCTTTCGTCTGCTGCTTGCAACGCGAGTGTCTGGAAGGCGCGATTCTAGCGTGCTCTCGGCGGCCCGGGTCGTCGGCTTGTCCGTTGCACATGCACTTTCGTGATGCGACTAGTTAGATCACGCCAGTGCGGAGAACGACAAACAGGAGCGGCGACTCTGATTATCGCTTTTGCGGGCTGTCAACGTGCAAATTGAAGGTGTTGGCGAAAGATTTCGTCGCTGCTTCACCGCATGTGTGCGCGCGGCGGGAGGCTCGGGAAGGTGCAGCGCGCGACCAGTCGCAAAAATGCAGCTAGTCCCTAGGCGGCTCTGCTGTGTAACACCAGACGACGTGTATCCAGCGCAATCGCGCGCGGTGTCTCTCTCTCCAACATTGACGGCGCGTGGCATCGGAGTGGTCGTTGGGCGTGCGGCACACTGTTTGTAGCAGTTCTGAAACAATTTCGCAGTCAGTATTGGTGGGCAACGCGCTTGGTACGTTCATCGACGCGCCATTGGATGCACGATAACTTTCTTGTCTTACCCGAGTTCACAATGAGACCGCCTCCCCTATGCAACGGCAGCGATGCGCGGGCTATTGACCTGCAGGCTGCCTACATGCTAAGCTGAGGCACAAACAAATGTCTTTCGACGCCATGTGATCAACCTGCGTCTCCAGCCGTCTCAATGCAAAGGGTCGAGATTACCACGCCCGGAACCAGGTCCATATGGTGTGCGTCTGCAAGTCGAACATCAGCTAGTGCATGCAGGCCAAACGCCGTGTGACATACTCTTGTGGCTCTCGTTGCAAATACTGCCGAGCAACAACCCACGCTGCTTGGAGCAGTCTTGATCTGGTGCCACTTCGCTCCCTGCTAACATGTTCAAGCCACTCTGCTCACGTTCACTCGCACTTCCATGCTTCCAATTCATCTTCCAGATGAGCCTTCAGTTTCTTCACCTCATGGCCGAAGTCCTTGCCGCATCGCCAGCACAGCATGCCTTTCTCACGAAACGAACCGTACTTCCTTCTGTAATCATCCGCGGCCAATGGGAAGTTCTCCAGCCCCACGAAGAAATCAGTGTTGAACGACAGATAGTGATTGCTCTTCTTCATGGCATCACTGACCATGTCCTTGCTCAGCACATGAATGTGGAGATGGTTCATGGAAGGATTGGCGTGTATCCCGGACTTGACATCTTGCAGCCAGTCGCGCCCCTGTGGAAGCACATCCGGAACTTCCTCTGCTTCCATAGCCTCATTCCTAGCTTGTTCCGCTTTTGAACATTGACCAAAGCGCCTCCGAAGCTCTTCGGCAACTAAAAGTCGTACTTTCTGCTCCTCAGCTCTACACTTGCGCAGAAATTCCTTGTCATCGAAAGCTTCCTGGGGTCGGAGGACGTTCTTCTTCGGGTCGCGTGGGAGGATGAGGAGGTGTACATTCGCCTTAGGGAACATGTCGTTGATTACAACAAAGTCCTCAGAGTAATACACAACCCTACTCGCAGGGTAATGGCCTGGGTCAACGGTATAGCATAGCAAGCCGTCCTTGAAGAAATCACGCGTCTTCGCACTTTCTCTGTCATGTTTGTCTGTCGTCGGTTGAATCTTCGGCTTTGGTTTCATGAGCTCTGTGACTTGTAGATCATGTCAGACTTCTGACGGCTTCGCATCGGCTTCGACTGCATACACGCATTGGGCTTCGTTGGGGTGGAGGACTGCTCTTGTGGTCCACCGGCATTGGCTGCGTGTTCTGCGCGTGCACTTGCAGCATCTTGCACAGGTGCCATGGTGCACTTCGAATATGCCTCTCGACCAGCGAGAGAAAGGTCGCGAATTGTTGGGAAGGACAGGGCGAAATGAGTAAGATGGAGACGTTGCATGGCCCCTCTCAGCCAACTCCACTTGCGGGACGTTGGCGCCGAGGTCGGTGCACTTTTGAGACCAACACGAGCAGGAGCACAGTTGGAGCAACATGACTACTGTATGAATGATGGCGATGCTTGCGAGCCGCCATGCTCTGCTATTTACGCCACGCTTATACAGACTCTTCAGTCACTGCCTTCGCGGATTCACGAATGTTTTCGCGTGGAGCACAAATTGTGCTCGTGCATAAAATTTACCCCCCGTCGTCATCGATGCCGACGCGACGCGTTCACTGTGAAGCCCGAAAGTGAAGCTCCGCGAGCTTGCAAAAAGAGAGACAAAGGCGCCTCCTGTTTGTGTTACACGCCGCACTTGTTGGTCTCAACATTCGACATGCCATAACCACCTGGAATCTCTTCTTGCCTACCGGTTTGTGCATACCGCTGACTGCCAGGCAATATGCCACGAACAAAATCCTCGCGGAAGAGGCAAAGCCGCTTGGAATTCACGCCTTTGCCGTCTTCATCTCCCGCCTCTAAGCACTACAACGAGCAGATACGGAGCCGAGCTGCTGCTGTGACGATTGAAGACTCTCCAAATCCAACGCGACATGCTCGCTCGCTCCGCGACGATGACGAAGACGACGATGCCACGCTTCCGACACCAGGCGCGACTGCGCCAGATGCCGCTGGAGACAGCGACAGCGAGCCTGTGCGAACAACTCAGAGACGACAAGATCGCTCCTCGCCAGCACCAAAAAGCTCGAGCTCCAGTCGCAGAGCAAAAGCTAGGCAACAGCAACTGGACTTCACACGAGCCCGACACCCCGACACTTTCGACGCTCCTGTCAAAGTCGCCTCGTCCCACCCCGCCTCCTCAGGGAAAGGCGTGTTTTCCTCGGGTGGGCACTCGAGAATGGTCGAACTCTCAAGCGACTCGGACTCTGACCTGCCATCAGCCAAGAAGGTGATGGCACGAGCGAAGGACAAACGCCGGGTTGAAGATAAGAAGGGGCGCATTACACGCAGCTCTCAGCGACCTGTGGTGCTGTCGGACAGCGACCAGGAAGGTATTGTTGTTGCCTCGAAGAAGAGTCCTGTCGAAGAGGCGAGTGGTGCTGAGGACAGCGGCGATGACATGCCCACGACTCAAGGACGAATGCCTCGGAAGCGGAAGAGGAGGACATCTGATGACGATTTCATCAGTGACTCCCTGCCTGCAGCAGCAGACAGCGATGACGATGTCGTGGAGGTGAGGAGACCGAAGCGGAAGCGTCTCCAGCAGGCCAGCGACGAAGAGGAAGAAGAGGACGAGGAGACACATCAGAGTGTCAAGACACCTAGGCGGCGGTTAGCCAAGAGATCGAGCCAGCTATCACAACGTGAGAAAGAGGACCTCGCCGAGGATCTCGCTGATTTAGGATCCAGCAGCGAAGCGCGATCCTCCCCGGGACCGCCTCGCAGCACCCAATCTGCCGAGAAGAATGCTAGACTGAAGGCTCTAGAAAAGCTAAAGCGGAAGCGAGGTCGTGCATTAGAGGTGGTCAGCGAAGCACCTGAAGGCCTCAGTGAGGGAGAAACAGGCTCACAGAACGATGCAGATGCAGCTGACGACAGCGAGGTCGAGGAAGTACGACCGCCTCTCAGCAGTCATCAAATGTTCAGAGCCGATGAAGGGGACGAAGACTTCCTGGTTGACGAGGAGGAGGGCGACGAAGACCTTTTGGGCATCCCAGATGGCATACCACTGCAATACACGAGATACGCCTCGATGAAAGGAAAAGAGCTCTTCCACTTCGCGATCTCCTGGATGGTGCAGAAGAAAATCAATCCTGGACCCGACATGAACGCGGAAATCTACGACCTCACTTTCCGGAAACTTGACGATGAGGTCCGAGGGCTGGCGTCGTCGAAATTCACGTCATCAGCTTGGACTGCCGATTTCACCATTGCGCTGCAAGCTCGGCCTGAGATCGCCTATCACAGATCGGAAATACCTCTGAAAGACAAATGTGATGCGTGCAACCGATCACAGCACCCGGCTACGTACGAAGTGCAATTCCAGAAGAAGCCTTACAGCCGAGACACACTCGATCCACTAGACGATCAAGATGAGTCCGAATCGTCGTCATCGTCCTCTTCTAACGACGGGGTCAATGACTCCGGTGCCTTGCCCGACTACGATACCCTAGGCCGTGAAGTCCTTCCTGAGAACACCATCTTTTACCTCGGGAAGTTCTGTATGGCCAATGCCGTCACAGCTCACGCATTGTCGCATTGGAAATACCAACTTTACGACGTTGTGGTAACGTGCTTGGAGCAGGCTGGGTACCTGAAGCCGGACAAAGTTCTACAGCGCGACAAATTATCAACGAAGAAGAGAAAGAAGCAGGCTAGAAAGATCATGAAGCGCATGGAGGACGAAGGCGAGCTTAGGTCGCTGTGGAAGACTTTCCGCGACGCTATCGATGATGCGCGCAATTCCAAGACACGGAGTCGATTTGGAGGGGACTCTCCTTGAGTGTTGCAGGCTTGACTGATTGGGTCTCTTTCAGCTTTGGAATTTGTCCTACCTTTGACTCCGGGCAACATTGGTTTGCTGCGGGGACGGTATGGGGGTTGCATTGAGAAGATGGATTGTCACATGGAACGAGTATTGGTCCGACTTGCGAGCGAGAGATCTTCTCTCGCATAAGGCACATGCCGTGAATTGTTCCGGCTCTCAGTGTACCGTCCGACCTCTTCAGCTTCAAAGAAGCACGCAGGTCGTGTCGTGTTTACAAATAACATACAATGCATTCCATCATGACATAGCTTTCACTCGCTCTCGTGCGAGCTAGAAACCCTCCATCTGCAAGCAGACCACACATCTTCATCTCGATGTGACAAGAGTATCGGCCGTTCTCCTTCCAAGGTAGGTGGTGCCATCGCTCTGTATGCGAGCGCCGTCCTCGCGGCACGCTCGGAGGTAGATCAACTCCCAATGTGAAGATCTACAACTCCTTTTTCAAGAAATGCTCCGGCGAATGATCCGTTTCGTAATCAACATGAACATACGCCCTCTCAACATCCGGCAGACTTTCCAACTTGATCTGCAAAGCCTCAGCGACATCATGCGTCTCCTTCAAGCTGAGGTGCTCATCCATGACAATATCGACCTCAACCATCAGTCGGGGACCAGAGTGCCAAGAACGAACAGTATCGAGTTGTTTGATGCGAGGGTCGTGCGTCATGGAAATATATGTCACGTGTTGCAGGAAAGAAGTGTCTGCAGAGACACCGATGAGGAGCTGGAACTCTTGGTACGCAGTCCTCAGCCAGAGAAAAGCGATGAGGACGGAGAGGATGATGGCGCCCATGGGGTCGATGAACCATCTGGAAAGGTTGTGAGTGATGGTAGGGGTGAAGGGGGATGGATTGACTTACTTGACTTTACTGCCGAGAACGCTAGTCATGAGACCGAAGCCGTTGATGAACAAGTCGTTGCGGTGGTCTTCCCACAAGATGCGGATTTGGCTATACTTGTTCCTCAAGGCGAAACAGTAGAAGAAGAGACCCAGCTTGGTCGCGAAGGCGATGCCGACCGCGATGACAGATGGGTAATGGAAGGAGGCATCATCGGCATGTTGTACCAGTTGTTGAATCGAGAACACGATCAGGATGAATGAAACGGCAGTCATCAAGAAGCAAAATGTGATATTGCCAGCCGTCTCCAATCGCGCTTTGCCCGATGGGAATTTCCTTGGGTCGACTTTGTTCACGGCACGATGGCACAGGATCAAAGTGAGATTACTCGCAGGATCGAAGATGCTGTCCGCCATGGTCGTGAAGAGCGATAAACTGCCAGAGGAGACGGCACCGTAGACTTGCAGGATGGCCAAGATGATATTGGCGGCGAAGGAGCCATTCACGGCGATCTTGAACTGCAAGGCGTCACTGCCTTGCTCTTCCCTCGCTTCGCGAACATGGTCATCGACAGGTTTGAGGAGACGTTCGATGTTGTCGTTTTGCGTCTCGTAGAATTGGAGGATCTTGCGAGACTTCCATTTATCTTTGCTGTTGCCCACAGGATGGCAGACTCGCTTGGCACTGGTGTTGGCTTTGCGCTTGGCTTTCTCGTCATCTAGGTCCTTGAGCCCGTCGCGGAGCTTGTACGGATCGTGCTCGGCGTGGTATTCTGGCAAGCTGTTTTGTCGCTCGACATCGTCTCGTTCGCTGTCGCTGCTCTTGCGGGTATATGCGGGCCGGGCTATGGGCTCTACGGATTTGTGATCATTGGATAAGACTGCGGAGCTCGTCCCGGGACGTTCATGGTGATGTCTGCTGCTCGGCTCAGGCGTGTGGTTATGCGACCGGTCTGGATGGGCGTGAAAGGGCGACGGGCGCAGCGAGATGGCGTTGTGCAAATCTGGGTCGCGTTGAGGCATGTTGCTGGCAAGTTGGGAGCCTGCCTGTAGGTGCTGCAGGTGGTCTATAAGGGAGGGATTGAGATGGGTAATCGGTTCACAGCCACCAACGTAGCACTTCCGCCTGCGATGCGTTGTCTGTCGTTCAGTGTACGATCAGTTCCTCGTACGACTCTCGTCGCGACTTGGCACTGCGAGCGCGGCGACGGTCGACAGCAAGAGTCGAATCAGATGGCATTGTTGCTCCCTCGTGCCGATTGCGACACCGGCGGATCAGCGCCGATGGTTTTCCGTCTGAACGAAAGCCTTGGCCGGCCGTGCTCGCTTTCAACGACATTTTCACGCAACATACGTCCTTCCGCGAAGTCTACACGTAAACGCAATCATGGTATAGCACTTGGGAGAAGGTGTTGTTGTGCCACATCCGGATACACAGCGCCTACAAGGCCCAAGGACGTGAAGTCGAGTGTCCCGGGTCCTCCGGCCAATGAGAGCAAGAGCACCTGTCATCGACCCGTTCGATTTTCGTGCGGCGTACCTACTCCTCTCCCCTCTGCTCCGTCGTCCAACGTCCTGGATCTCTGTCGCGTGCCAGTACGGGAATACGGACAGGGTTTGGGCGTGCTCCGACTGGTAGACTGGCTGGAAGAGCAGTACCCCACGATCTCTTGTTCTCGGATCACCGCTGCTAAACCGGGACGTCATTGATCAATCAACAAGACATGGAGCGATCTATTCGCGAGCGAACATGAGCTCGGCATGTATGGCGAAGTAATTCGTCTGCTCGCTCGTTGACAGCTGCACAGATTGCCGCTCTCAGTACTGATCAACAAAGCCTAACAAAAGTAGTTTACATTGTAATCGAGCGAGGCATCATGCAGCATATGAAGCATGGATGGTGTCCGACATGTTCCGCTCCAAACAGGTAGTTACGCGTCTAGGGTGAGAGTGTAGGTTTAGATATAACTGGATGGCTCTGACGGGGACGAGCAACCCTTTACTGTTCAAGCAATCAATGCAGCATATCCTTCAAGAGTCGTGAGCTCCCAGAATATGAAAGCACAGAGCTATCACCAAAGACACGATTCTGCAACGATGTCCGAGCAACAATCACCATGGTTGCGACTTCCACAACGGCTCCGTCACTTCATCTACGAATACGTCCTCGTGTGTCAAGATCCCATCGAGATCCACCCGAAAGCACGCCGGAATTCCGTAATATCGCGGTCACAAGAGAGAAATAGCCAACCGCCACGCTTCTCTTCCCTTCTCCAGGTCTGCAGACAAATTCGCAACGAAGCTTCGCCTGTATTCTACGAGCAAAACACCTTCATCGTCCCATGGGGATTCCCAAACCTTGGCTGCAGGTGGCTCGACGAGCTGACGACTGCCCAACGACTATCTTTAAGGGATGTGAGGTTCTGCTATGGTGATGGGGCATTCTGGACTGTGTATGATGCGAAGGTCGCATTGTCGTCACTCCAGGTGGGGTTGAAGAAGTCAGGCTCGGCAGCAGATTTACAACAGCTCAAGTTGTGGGTACCAGTGTGTGAATGGTAGGTGAATTCTTCTTGGCGAACTAACAACCTGGTCACGATCCACCGATGTAATGGTGGTCGCTGTCAAGATCTCTCCGACATGTGCTAATTCTCAATTGATGGCGTAGGTCGGTACACAACTGGAGAGATCTGACAAAACGCGCCGATGCCCTCTGGGTCAACAACAACGAGACAAGACCTTTCGCTTGCGATCACATTAAAGGTCAAGGTCTTTGGAGGATCGACAGCTTCAGAATGTGAGGCACTACCATTTGCGTGCTGTGGGATTCTCTCAATACGATTCATCCGTTACTGCGAACTGGCAATCCTCGAGCACAACATTGCGCAATGAATATCGCTCGGTTGAAGAAATTCATCAGATGAGATTGAGAAGTTCAGCCGCGGTTCATCAGCCAGGTTGGGCACTTTCGACTGCGAGCAAGCATACCTTGCAGCATACAAGTTCGTGGTCCAAAGCAGATGCTTCGTGGCGTGCAAACACCATATTCGGGCAGCCATGGACAAGCAATACCATGCGCGTGGAGGGCGCATCAATCGATACAGATTTGATCTGCAGCTTTGGTGATGGGGCAATGAGATCAGTATGAGTGCATCTCCTCGGTGACTTGTCACCTGAAACAGCGAGGAAGCATAGCAAAAGAGTGTGCATTGTTTGAGTATAGGCAAAGTCGAGCTTCAGTACCCGGCGGACACATTTATAAATCCTGTCAAAGAAACCATCCTCGACGCTGCCCCGTTCCAAGATCTGAGATCCCTCAAACAACGACTCGATTGCGGAGTGACGAGGTAGCCGCACAGAGCCTCAGCCAACGCGGTTGTAGGGCAACATTCTATCAATAAACACAAAGTCTACAAATCAAGGAAATAGAGCGCTTTGTCGCTGACCAGTATCATCAGCTGCAGGATAATCACCTTGCTCTCGACGCTACACGTAGCATGCTGAGAGTAGTGCGACACTCAGCGAAAAGCCACGTCGTTGCCGCAGTGGCTGCATGCTTGACCATTCACGCATGTGCCCGCCGAGCCGCCTATAGTGTGAGTGATGAGTTTGGGTATCAAGCTCGATCATGTTTCGAATGCAGACCACGTGCAAATATTGATTGACGATGGCTGAAGCGCGGGCCAGTTCGTTGCTGGACGCGTCTGGCTCTCGAGCTTGCTGGCAGAATGTTTCCAAGACCAATATCCTGGACATCAAAATATTGCTTCACGCATTTCCTGGCGTCACAGTATACAGATCCAGAATTCGCCAAATGGTGATGCAGAAAGAAAAGATCCTCTCGGCAGCCGAACCGCAAATCAAACATGAAATCCGAGTCAAGCCCACACGCAAAAGACTGATGAAGCCTCCCAGCCGTGCCAGGTTCCCGCCGACTCCGGTCCATCATTGCCGATCATCGACTTCACCCAAAACATGAATCTTCCTCATTCCAGCATACCCGGCGTCTCGCGGATGAAACACGGAGCAACATGGATCAGTGCTTTCACCTCTCTTCCAATAGCACAAATGCCTGCTGCGTATGCCCGTCAGGCGATCGGGTTGGCAGCAATGACCCGCTCCCCAGACCAGAGTCTATTTGCGCGCGGTGCGCCTGTTACAGAACGCGATGCGAAACTCTGCTGCTCGAGTAATGTTTTCTGGAGCTATGATACAACGAGAGGTTTGCCTCGCGGTCATCTTTTCTTGAGCTTCGTTCAAGCTCCGCAGTCGTCCGGTTTACAACTTCGAGAAACTCATTCGTTCGAGTGAGTGGGCTATGCATTGGAGAAATTACAATCAATTCGGCAGATCATGATCTTGGACTGCGGCAAACGAGTCTTTCATTATTAATGGTCGTCTCACCGGAGCCTTGCCAGAAGCCGTCTGATATCGGGAGCAACGATTCCCGGAGATCTTCTCAGAGACTGGAAGCCAGACCTGAGAGGTGGAGTGGCATTGCGCAAGGACGAGCGAATGTGAATACTGAAACAGCGACACCAGTACCACAAGCGCCAGACACTTCGCAACGCCCACGGACTTCTGAGCGAGCAGTTGGAGTCAGCAGCGAGGCAGCCATGAACGCCTCAGATGAGAAGGCGGCCGAGGCGGCAGCAGAGCAGAGAAATGCTGCGGTCACACCCGATGTGTTCGTAGATGCCCAGACGCACGAAAGTCAGAGCACGACTGAGCAGGACAGTATCAATCATGACACGACCAGCGGAGAAGATCCAGAGAAAGATGCAATCCGAAAAGAAATCCAGAACAAGCACCTGAGTATCGCCTCAAGCGCGGATGCGCACAAACGAGAGTCAATAGAAACTCCTCCGCGATGGTCAGCCGTCATGTCGGACTCGGACGCAGCGAGCGAGCACACCATACAGGCAACGCCCATAGTAGAAGCAGATGCCAGACCTGCAGCGACAAGGAGCCGTGTGACACTGCAGGTGCCAGAGGATGAACACCACCACCAAGGTGGCGGTGGCTCGATGCCAACAAGGCCGACCCACAGCAGAGGAGCAACGGTGGCTTCGGGCGTGACAATCGCTTCATCGAGAAGGAGCCTTCCATCTCTGCGTCGACGAGAGACAAAGCTGATGCAAAAGAAAGCCCATCCTTGGCAACATCTGGGTACGTGTTGGCGACACTATTGTTATGCATAAGCTGATCTGACGCGTACAGGTATTACGCTTGGCCTACCGATGGTGCTCCTCTTCGATCTGGTCGTGCCCTGCATTGCGTACTACGTGTGGTACGACAACCACGGACCAGACATAAAGTACGACAGAGGCATTCTCGGTGGCGCGGTCGCCTGTTTCGGTTTCGGAGAGCTCTGGATCCTCTTCGCACGAGTTTGGCGCCTCTTCTTCAGACGAGAAGAGTGTGCGCCACTTCTCTCACGCAATCGATGGGAGCTCGATGCAACGTCGTGGGTGTACGGAGTGGCGGTCCTGATCGCGCTCCCACCGTTCGTGATTGGTTCCGAGTTGGAGATACCCGAGCTCTACCTGTACGCCCCCTGCTTCATCTTCGGGTTCCTCGCCATATTGATGTTCATCACGACGCTCTTCCCTTTCAAACTCCCGATCGGGATCAATTCACAGGAGCGAGGGACACGAATCCGGCCGTTCATTTTTTATGCTGCAGAGGATTTCATCGCCGTCGATGGCCTGCAGGATCGAGAATTCCGGGTCCGCTACAATGAGCGGTACGAACATAATGCCATGTTCCGCCGCTTCTTCTTCTGGCTGACGCTTTTCTGGTTCTTCGGATGCTTGATCTACATCGGGTGCGCGTCGGCCATTATCTGGACGCTGGAGTTCAATCACGCCTTTGGACTTATTTTTGGCATCCTGTTCTCCTGGATTGGCGTCTGGGCGTTGATCACCTGGCGCTGGGTCAAGTGGGAGATGAGGCGTGAGAGACGGGCATTCGAGGAGGGCTATGTTGATGCATAACGATATTCACCAGGGCGGGGAGGGGATAGCAGTAATATAGTCGTGGGAATGATCGGCAATGTAGATTGGAGCAGCGTCGTGTCGTGTCAATAGTGTGGTACATCTCCTTGCTGGCACATGTGCACTGTAGATCTGGTTGTTGGATGGACGGTTGTCGTCACGTGAAAAGCTCTGGAGTTGCTCTCGAGTCCCGAGTGTTTCCGCAGGGTGAGTGTCGTCGGCGTGGGCGCTGGGCATCGATGATGTATGGAGCGCGTCTATTGCGCCCACAGCGCTCTCGTTGCGCTGTCTGCCCACCGTGATGATCGCTTGACGTACTCCCATCCCTCCCCGTCACGGTGCCATGTCACGCCCTGCTGCGAGGCGGTTGTGCTGCGAACTGGACTGAGGTCGTCCTGAGCTGTGGTCCAGCATGTCCGATGCAACGACGCCCTCCTTCTCCTGACGACGGCCGCTGCCTCTGTCGCCTGTCTTGCACACTGACGCCGCAGTGGAACTGCACCCACGCCCTGTCGCCGAAAAGTGGACCGCCGCTGGTGGTGCTGGAGAAGTCCTCAGGCGCTCAGAGTCGGTTGAGGTTGTGAGACCGCTCCGGCGTGACGCTTCCGCAACAAGAGGCCCACTAACTTAGCAACACACCAGACAGGCAAGTACAGCTTCGAGCCACTTTCTCTCTGCATGCCTCCTCCTCTCACCCGTATTCTCGTCTCTGTCACAGCGCAGGCCCCACCGAGCAGCCCTTACGACATATTAGGCGATCAACGCCATGCTATGTCGTGACTGACTCGTCGACAGAGCTACTACCTCACACTGCATCGCAAAATCAACAACTCCTCATCCTCGATTTGAACATCGGCTTGCGACTCAATCTCCGCCATGTCGGAGTTTGTCGACCTGATCAAGCCACTGGGCGAGCGCTTGAAACACTGCTACGACCCTACCAGATCGCCGACAAGTCAACCCGAAAATGACGCCGTGCATGCCACAGACCCGGCCAGAGCCGTGCCGCAAGGCTTCATCGACGCCATGATCGTCCGCGAGGAAGTCTACGTGAAAGAGCAGAAGATTCCGCTGGAGAATGAATTGGACGAAGACGATGCTCGGAGTTTCCATTGGGTCGCCTACGCTTCAATACCTGCCAAAGCAGTAACAAGTAGCGATGGGACAGAACGCAAGGGCAGTGGAAGCACAAAGATGCCGATTGGGACAATACGCTTGGTGCCACCACCACATGGCCAGCATCCTGGAGGAAACGGTCACGATTCACCACAGAGCAATGGAGGACATACAGCAACTGAGCCGTACATCAAGCTTGGGAGATTGGCTGTGATTCCTGAGTTCAGGAAGGCTGGAATTTCAAAGCTGTTGATCGAAACTGCTCTCGCTTACGCAAAGGCACACCCATATGAGGTAGGCCCGGCCCTCGATCCTGCCTCGATGGAGGCACTCAAGAAGGGTCTGGGCGTGAGTTGGAAGGGTCTGGTTCTGGTGCACTCTCAAGTCGGAGTACAGAAAGTGTGGAAAAAGTATGGATTTGAGACGGACGAAAGCATGGGTCAGTGGGATGAAGAAGGCATCGATCATGTCGCCATGTGGAAGCGTGTCTCTGTCGAGCAAGGACGGAGGACCTCAAAAATCTGGCTGCACACGAACAGTGTTACGAGTCCATGAGTAATGATGGATTGTCCACCAAGAACACATATAGACATGGCGTTGAAAACGGCTATACCCTCGGGATATTGAAGCAGCACTCATAGTGTGAAGAAAATGCATAGCTGGTTGGTTCTGACATTCGTTCATGGCTCTCCCACTTTCGTTAAAAGTCCGCTCAGCCACATGAAAGGTCGCCGTGTTGGAGTCTACACCAGCGACCATTCTGGTGACGACGAGCTCTGCCGATCTCCACCACCAAGGTAGATCATAACTGGAGCCAGAGGCCCGGAGAAAGCTCCGGCTCACGTCGTGCGAAGACAGCTCCAAACTTGCACACACCTCCGAGTGTCGCCAGTCTCGAGATGAATTCTCATGGACAGGGATTGTCACAGCGAATCGTGCGATCAGCACATTCTTCTCCATATATTCCACGCCTTGTGAGACCGTGTTCGTATCCCACGCCGCCCCATATGTGTACTGTTCAAGCCACAGGTTCGGAACGAGCTTTCCGCATTGTAGCAGGGGAAGTGTAAATTTGGTGACAACTTCCTCTCTGCACCTACCTGAAGAGATGTCTCGGAATTCGGTGCAGTGTCGTTATTGCCTTCGAGGCTTTGCGACTGGAAGATGATGATAGAAACAGGATTGGCAAGAACAAGTCGGCGGAAGTTCGCGGGTGGCTCGAGCGCCCGTTGACTTGCGGTTCTCCTTCCCTATGCTCTCAAATGACATTTCCATTTCCATCAACGACCCGACGTATACGTATCTCCCATCTTGACCGAGTTCAGGGGCCAGCAGAATCACCAGCACACGGCGCAGCAACCATTTTACAACAGTTCCATCGAAGTCACCACAAAAATGCCAGGACCTCCTGTTACCACGACGGACTTCGCAGAACCCTCAAATCCATACTATCCCACCGGCTCCTCAATCGCTGGCTGGAAACCAAATGAATCCTCCGTATTCACACTTCTTGGAGCCTTCTTCGGAGCCTCCGTCGTGCTCTTCACCTCAACCTTCATCCTGGTCAAACGAATCCAACCAACATTAACACGAAGCGAGCTCCTAACCATAATGTGGTTCGTCCTCAGCGGAACAATCCACATCTTCTTCGAAGGCTACTACATTTCGAATTTCTCCTCACTCGGATCGCAACAGACTTTCATCGCTCAAATGTGGAAAGAGTATTCTTTCTCGGACTCACGATATCTGACGAGCAATGGACTTGTATTCTGCTTGGAAACGATCACGGTCTTCGTTTGGGGGCCTGGTTGTTTACTTGTGGCAGCACTTATCGTTTCACGCAGTCCCTGGAGGCATCCGTTGCAGATTGTTGTGAGCTTGGGTCAGTTGTATGGTGATACTTTGTACTATGCGACTAGCTTTTTCGATGAAGCTGTTCATGGGATTTCGTATTCGAGGCCAGAGGCGTTTTACTTCTGGTTCTACTTCGTTTTCATGAACAGTTTGTGGATTATCATTCCTGCAGGTTGGTCGTGTCTCGTGGTACTGAGCATGTGATCAAGGTATGCTAATGATGGATCAGCTCTGATTTTCCAAAGCTCTTGGACGGCGGCTTCAGCGATCGCAGCTGCAAGTCAACGCGTGGAATCGAAAAAGTTGCGATGAAGTACTCGTCGACTGATCATAGGTACTGCAATGGAAGCTGCCGAAGGTGGAACGGACTACAACACCGATGAACATCTTTCAACGACTTCAAGAGACACATTGACACCTTCTCCATTAAGCTTGGATCACTCAAACAATGATCTCCCTTGAAAAGCCAGGAAAGAAGGCACGAAAGCCACAGAGCCGCTGGGTCTGTCTCTTATCCGGCTAATAAGCTACACAGATTGACAGAACGCAGAGCGAGATGTCCTCCAGCCGCCGTTACACGGATCGACAGTGCGCGCACTTGTGCTTGCGCCATCACCGTGATTCTGCCAAACTTCTCATGAGCAGATGCCTTCCAGCTTTTGAGCTCGAATTCGTTCTTGGAAGGTGACTGTACCTCCAGTGGAGCTTCTTGTGCTTTGCCTGCTTTCGCTGGTCCATCATGGAGCTGTTCAAGGATCAATGATGCTTGCACCGAGTGTGCCGTTCCTCCCGCAAGCGCTCTGTGCGACTAGATCAAAGCACTGTAATATATCAGATGCAGGTTGGGTGTTCTTTAGGGCATTCCATAGGCTCGCCACGCAACTGCATGCGTGCCGCGTACCGTGGGAAAGAAGCTGATAGCGCTGGGTCTTGCTTCCGGCCACGCTTTGCCAACATGCACAGCTCTTCGACTGACATGCATGAGCTACTTGCCCAGGCCTAAAGTTCGGTTCTCGACTTCCATTGGTCGTATCGACGCTGGAGACTAGGCAATCCAAGGTAATGCAATCATCTGCAGCAGGCCGTATGGCAGGCTGATCCACTCCAATTAGGCGTCATACTTGAAACGGCAAGATTCTGCACGCGATACCAAGGCGAGGCCCTGGGCGTCAGGCCGAACAGCCATCCAGCCAGCCACTTCTGCATGGAGGCAGGTCCTAAGCGCCGGCCAGGATACGATTGGCTCAGAGAGGAGGATTCTGGCTGCCGAACCCTGATATTGGGTTAATTTGCTCGAAATAGCTGGCCAGCCAGCTCCATGAATGGCAATTAGCCGTCTTCACTCAGGCCGCCCTTCTGGAAGCTAACATCGCCAAGTCTTTTCGAACATCTCCATGAGTGAGACAGACAGGCCTTACAGCGATGTCAGCATGAAGGAATTGTGGTCAGCAGCATGCAAATAAGAATGTGAGCATTCCTCTGCCTCACCGAAAGTTGGACTATCAGAATGCAAGAATGAACGTCCCAAGGCTCGCAAGCCGGAAGTCCTGGCGCGGGTGGCCTCCACTTCTCCACTAATTTGATTCTATTTCGATCAGGGCGCTTAACGACACATACACTTTGTACCTCAACGTCGTACAATGTCAGCCATGTATATAGCAACCATGTCGAGCGCGCCTAAGAGGGCGCAGTGCGAGTATATGCTCTTCGCGTGCCTCCTACTTGCATTGCATTGTTGACACTTCTACCAACTGGCAAGATCTGGACATTCGTTCATCCAATTACGAACACTCGACGATCGATCGAAGGCGCAGGCACACAACACACACATTTTCCAACAATGCTGTTCTCAATAGTAAGCCTGTTGCTTGCCGCTGGACTCGTAACCGCTGTGCCATTCCAACAACAAGAACGCAGAGATGCCGTCGGCAGCTGGAGCAGAAAGAATCACAACTGGGCGGGGCGAGGATCGTCGAGAGCAGCAGAACAGTGCTCATGTGATATTGCATCGATCCAGATGCCACAAGGTACGCCTCTCAAAACATTGAGCAGGAAAGTTCGTCGTACTAACATTCTCTACAGCACCCAAGCCTCTGCCTCCTGTCTCCGAAGGCTTTTCATTGTACCACATCGCCGTCGGACGAGGCACACAAAATTACACATGCGACCTTTCCAACGCGACAGCAGTACCCGCTGCAGCCGGGGCCGTCGCAACTCTAGTCAACGCGACATGCCTAACAGCCAACTCTCCAATCCTCGCATGGTCCCTCGCCGGCTGGGCATATCAAGATAAATCCACCTCAGTGCCTAAGACCGTTCCAGTGAACGACTTCCTCAAGATCTCAGGTCACCACTACTTCACCGACCTGACAACAGCCTACTTCAACCTCGACACTATTGGTCAAGGCGACGATACCTGGCAAAGCAACTATAGCCAAGGCGGATTCAAAAAGATCAACGCCACCGATGCCCCAGCCGATGCTATTGAGGGCTCAGTCCCCTGGCTCAAACTCAATAGCAAAGACGAGACCAAAGCTGATGACTGTGCTTTCCAAGAAGTGTATCGAATCAACACCGTTGGTGGTGCAGCACCAAAGACTTGCGAGGGTCAAGAGGCGGAGTTCCAAGTCGAATATGCTGCTGAGTATTGGTTTTATGGCAAGCCTGAGACATCGAGCTACTAGAGTGGGAACGTTATGACTTCTTTTTCTTCTTCTATCGAGCAATTTGTACAGAAGCCTCTTTGCGACAGCACAGGGGAAAAGGCGTTATCTGGGGGTAAAGAGAGCTCAATGGATGGCATTTTCAATGTGTGCATGGTCATATCTATCTCAGAACGAAGTGGAATTACTGCGGACGAGACAGCATAGTAGAGACAGAAAATTAAGAGAGAGAGAGACAGCAGTAACGTCAAAGTGGAGCGTTCGTAGACGACAGCAATGACGATGACGACCAGTTCATTAATGCAGTATCTTCTCCAGTTTCAAATGCGACTCACTCGTGAACAAACCACGTTTCGCACACGTCTCCCTAGAAGCGCGCAGAGCCAACGTTATACACTACCGACTAGAGCACAGAAACGCCTTCGGATCATTGAGACGCGACGGGCCTCCTACGCGCCTTTCAATTCTAGTCGGACACTATCGTTTCGAATTTGGAGTTGAACAAAGTAGGTCAGCTGGTGGTTCAGCAAGCCAATTTTCATTTTGCATCATCTAGTTAAGCGCCTCGTGGAAGTCTTCATTCAATTCGTCCACGTCGTGTCGCCATGAGCGTCTAACCAATATCTCTGTCTTGTGCCCCTCTTCCCAGAAGCCATGCACCACAACCCCGCCACCACCACTATACATGCAGAGCTCTGTACAAACATATGACCGAAAAAATTCTCCACTCACTGACAAGACGATGCTAGGTAGTCTTTCCTGTTCTCTCCTCTTGACTATCGTCATGCAAAGGCATAATTCGCCGCTCGCTATCCAGGTTCAGAAAGTACTATCTACTTCCCAATATTCATATCCTTTAGCGCGCTCTCGCCCCAATCAGAAGTATCACTTATCCCACTCCCTCGATTTGTGACTCGCAATGCTGGGCCAAGTGGTTTGGGCATTTCCACGGGACTGTCGGAGTCGTAGTTAGTGGGCGCGTGATCGGTCGGCCAGTCGGGATAGCCATGACCAGGTTGGTAAGTGGCAGAGGTATCCCAATCTGAATCGCGGCGATCGTATTCGGGTGATCCATTATCGAAGGGCGCGGTCGCGTATCGCGATTGCTCTGGTAATTCTGTGTTGTAGGGTTGGATGGGCGAGTAATCTAGCGTCGTGTTCAGGTTTAGGTGAGGGTTGCGTTCGTTGGTTGGTGTGTCGTCGTTCGGGTCGCCTGTGAAGGGTGCAGAGGCTTGTGTCATTGATAGTGATCGTGGTTGGGTCTGGACAGTCAAGTGGCCATCCTGTTCGGCGATAGGTTCCGCTGCGGCCAGATGGTTGACACTTTGTACTTGTCGGAGGGAGCTTTCGCCACGACGTAGACTGGCTGCACCGGGAGCGTTGCCGCTCTGAGCGCTACTTCTTCGCGCAAAGTGTTCTTCGGGCACTGCAGTGCCAACACTGCCTTCAGCGTCTGGATCACGAATGCTGAATTGCGCTATTGTTCGCATCTTCCGGCTGACCCAGCTGGCCAATATCTTCCCTCTCTGCTTCTCGCCAAGTCTTGAGCGTGGGAAATCGCCGAGAGCAACGAATGCGACAATGTCAAGTACAAGCTGGTGCTCGTTAAGGACTGTGTTGACAATGATGGGCACGAGTGACGCCAGGAAAGCTCTTGTTCGAACTTCGGCGATCAACACAAGGAGCGAACCTGCTTGAAAGATAGCACTGTGATGTGTTAGCAAGTTCTCAGCAATTGCCAACCGGACAGGACTTACCATCCGCCTCGCACAAGTGCTCGATGACACTTCTCCACACTAGACTCAACGTCCATCGGGAAGTGTTGCAGCCCATTAACCTCAAATGTCTCGCCAATGGAACCCAACACGAACAGCACTTGCATCTCCACCATGTTACCACCAGGCCCGATAGGTCTGCTTACGCTGTGAAGAAATCCGAGATCACCTGTTCTCACGTATCGTACGCCCGGATCACCATCGACTGTATGCCCATTGAAGCGCTCCGCATCGAACGCATCCTTGCTGCCATAGAAAGAATGTGCGTTAGCCTCTGATTGCACCCAGATCTCACCATACTCGCCAACCAGGCATAGTCGGTTTGTCTCTGGATTGACAATACTGATCTGAGTGCTGACAGGCACCATGCCCGAATCCTGTACGAGTAATGCAAACGGGTCCTGGTCTGGGTCGACTGGTACGACCAGGCCTCTCCGTAGACTCGTCGGCTCCAGATATAACTCTATCGGTTCTATACACATGTAGCTCCTGCTAGCGACCATCGGGTTAAGAACGTGACTGTATATCGTGTTAATGGCAGTCTTGTCAAGAGCAGACTGCGCGAAAGCCTGTCTGACGTGCGTATACACGTCGGTCTTTGGTCGCTGTTCTGTTGAGATCATGAGATTCTTCAACTCCATGAGATTGATGCCTTTGCCTGCGCCATGGGCAATAGCGTGCTCCAGCATTTGCGCGGTGGCGTAGGTGTCCTTGATCTTGTACCTAGCAAGAGTCTGCATCAGAATGTTGGGATTACCAGCAAAGTCGACAGGCGAGACCAAATACGTGGGCGTTGCGAGGAATATGCCCATCATGCAGGTGTGGAGGAAGCCGATGCCCATCGTGCTTCGCACACAAGCCAGGACGGGGCGCGTGGAGGTCATCTGGCAAGTCTCTTTTTGGACCTTGCAGAGCGCCATAAGGGTATTGTGTCCTAGCTGCACAGCAACACGTCGCTGGTCCGGCGTCCAATATGTCCAGATGACGGCCGGGTACCCTGGCGCAATCCAAGCCGGTCGTATTGTCAAGCCTTGTTCTCTGCATCCGTGAGACTGTTTCGGTGGCTTAGAAGTGTTGTATGTCGAGGGAAGATTGACCTTCAGAATCAGCGCAGATTGCTTGAGGTGCTGCGAAACAGTCTTCTGCTTCAGCACGCTTTCCACATCATTATTAGTGAGAATCGCCTTTATCCTGAAGTCCGCGATCATGTGCAGCAACGCGGGAGCATCTTCACTGAGTCGGTTGCTATCGATGGGTGCCATTGGTACCGCAACCGCACCCAAGCAGAGACAGGCATGTACGGCGTACACGAAGTCTTCGGAGTGCGTGTACATCAGTAGCAAGTGGTCTCCTGGCTGGACCTTGACCTTGTTTTTCAGGTAGAGTGCGACACCTGCCACCTTCAGATCGAATTTCTTCCAGTTGACGCCTTTCCCTTCCCGGCCTCTGCCATCGATGGTGCAATAGGACAATTCTTCCGATTGCCGCGACACTCTCCACTGCATCAGATCATGAATATTGCTGAACTGATTCAGTGGCGTACTCGTGCGATCATCAATGACGACTTCTCGATGATCTACACCGGAGTACTGCTTGTCAGAGTGCATAGCGAGCATGTCCTGTCGAGCCTGACTTGCCATGGGCGACCAGATCCCGCCAGCAGGATCATCGCCAAGTGGCAAGTTTTGTACTGCACGTTCGACGCCAAACTTGACGTGCACGCAGGGTAAATTGCCGTTGTCGAACTCTTTTCTGCAGAGCATGTTGCCAATGTCTCTTCGGCCGTTCTTGATTACACGAGGCAGTGTATTCGGTGCAGTCATCATCACGCAATACACGCGAAGATGATGCTCCTGGTACAAGACCTCCATGACTCGCTCGCTGAGAGAGTCCAGGAAAGGTATGTCCAGTTGTCGGGGAGGTCCGCCAGTCGTCGTTGGAGCTGTGCTCGCAGCTTGAGTTTCGATGAGGATGATCGGTAGATACTCGCCATTGACATGCGCATCAAACGCCGAACAATCGTAAATCTTCGGCACAGTCTTCATGATACTGGCAACCAGATGTTGCACGAAGAAGTAACGATGTTCGACTTCTTGCAATCCATGTTCAACCCACTCTACTCGTTGCCGGATGCGGTCTTCGTAGAGTCCGAGCACGAAGACCTTGCCCTCGATGATGCAGCCCAGAAGCCCAGTTCTGAGGAATTCTGGCTCGACCAGAACAGGTGTAGGACTGCCTTCCACAAATCTGTAAGGTCGGGCGTGGAAGATCGTTTCGGTGTGTTTAGGCAACGCCCAAAAGCCACCAGAGAGTGATGGCGAGTCAACCCAAATCTCTCCAACCGTGTATGGTGCGCACAGCAGATTTGCTTCGGGATCAACGATAGCGAGGGTCGCATCGGGAATTGGGTATCCAAAGGCTCCAGCTCGAACAGTTCCCGGCTCGTTCGCTCGTTTCCGAGCCTCTTCGCCGAGCGCGATAATGACAACTTCATTCGTCTTCAAACTCTCCTTATCCAACAGCACCTCACTCAGTTCTGTCCGGCTCGTCTTTTGCGCTTTCTTTTTGCTCGCAGTGCTGCCGTCCAGAAGACTTGTGTAGCCATTCGTTGTGGGACTACCAGGATCCGAATCACTATCCTCTTCGTCTTGCTGAATAGTCAAAGGACATCCCATGCGCTCTTCGCCACCTAACCAGTCTCGCACTGAAATAATCATACCACCGTGTTCTGGTAGCGCAAGCATGGGCGCGACCAACTCTCTCGCTCGCTGATTGCGCATAGGCTTCAGCCATCGATCGGCCAAAATTTCATGGAATTCGGTGTCCACAGTCAAGCTATCGATCAGACAAATCTTGACGCTTGCAAAGTTTGGCTCCATGTTCTTCTTGAAGTTCCGTGTCGCCATGGGATCCTGCTGGTAATTGTACGCTGCACGCTTTAAGCCCGGATAGTCTGCCACCATGACCGTTGCACGGTATTTCGAAATGAGATGCGCATACAATCCAGGTGTGTCCACCGTCTTACTCTCGAACCATACCGTAGTATGCCCTCCATACACGCCCAAAAGCACGCCGAGAATCAGACCGCAGCTTTCTCGAGGATCCAGATAAGACATTATTGTCTCATGTCTGCCCGGCCGAGGCACCACAAAAGATCCGTCCGAAGCTTTGAGATGTGATGAAAATGTATCGTTGTTCTGTGTAGCCGGTATCGTCGAAAGAATGGCTGACAAACATGCCATTTGGTGCATAATCGTTCTGTGGGACAAGACCACGCCGCGCAAGTCACCTGTTGGCGCTCTTGAGAACTCGATGTAGGCAAGATCGGGGACCTGCAGAGGCGCATCGCTGTCTTTCTTCTTGGGGTGATAGGATCCGAACTCGTTCGTCTTCCACCACTCTACCCCTGTAGGCCACTTAAGTCTTTGGGTCGAAATGTCTCTTGCAAAGGCTTTTAGGTTGTTGTCGGTCGTAAGCGCCAGATGCGCCTGCGTTGTCGTCAAGAGCAAGGAGAGCTTCTGGTAATCATTGACATTGTTGATGGGCACCGCGACCACCCCTGCAATGAAGCAGCCCATCAACGCGATTGCGAAATCGATGATTTCGCTGTCTCGGTAGACTAGTGCCACTCTGTCGCCCCTATACAGATTGGACTTGTCTCTTATGACCTGCGCGACTTTCTCTGCTCTTGAAGCTACCTTGTCCCATGTTATCGAGGCCGTCTCTTTGCCCTTTGAGTCTAACACCCAATAGGCGGGCTGCCGCGCCTGCATCTTACCCCTGTGCCTCAAAACCGCGCCAATATTGTCGAACTTCGACATTGGTATGCTGTTGTTGTGCGGATCGTAGACTGCGAATGGCACGTCTCGTGGTTCGAGGGGTAGCTGGTGGATCGGAGCACTGGAAATATCGTCGCTCATCAAAGGCGGTGGCACCATGGCTGTCGGAGAGAAAGCTTCGCCCATGCTGTAGCGCTGTGGTCCTCCATAGCTCATCCTCTGATCATCACTCTGCATCTGATTGCTGTTGAAGTCGCTGAAGTATCCTTGCTGCGAGTCCAACATGGTGCTCATTCGGCTTCCAGCGCCTTCAGGAGACCACGGTTGTTGCGCGTGCTTGGGATCGTTGGGATTGAAGGCATAGTCGGAGTTCACCATTGTGCCTGACGCGGATCCAACACTGTACCTGCTGCCCGGACTCTCCGGCCGGCTGCCAGGAGTAATTGGGCGCAAGCTCCCATGCCCACCAGAGGCCTGCCGTTGTGCTGATCGTGGTGGAATGCCCAACTGCTGTTCCTGAAATCGCTGTACAGGCCCAGATGCCATGCTCCCGGGCGTGACGGGCCTTGGTGGGTAGGCATTGGCATACTGCTGTTGCTGCTGCATGCCGTGGCCATAGTCCGGGGCGTATGCAGTGTAGTCGGGACCGTGTATTGAAGGCTGGATACTGCCGTAACTCGTCTGGCGGTTGTGCACTGCTTGTCCCGAAGCCATGCTCATGGTCCGGTCGTTCGCCACGCCCGCCGCCTGCAGCTGCTCGGGAGACAAGTATTGGCTGAGGATCATGGTACGTCTCTTCTCATAGCCCTTCTGCGTGATATCTCCCTCCTCCAACTCATGGTCGAGTTGGCGCAACTGCGCCTGCAATTCGGGATTGTCGCCGTCCATGTTCGCGTTCGCCCACGGCTCTGCATTCCACGACCGCAAGAGCAACACGCGCCAATGGTGATAGTGTGTACGTTCGATCGATTGCTGGTGAGTTCGGTGGAGTGCGCAAATTTGGCCAGCGCGCCGCTTCACTTCCAGTGACAGCGAGATGCGGAGGGTTCATGCTCGTCGCGGAGCTTCGAGATCCCAGCTGCGTCAGTCGGAGACCCTGGTCGCCCTTCTTTGCACGTCACACTCTGGAGGCGCTACCACGCTTGCGGATATTGCTCTCCTTGGCACGACTATAAGGCTCACTTTGCTAGAACAGCTGGGGCCTAACGACGATTCGGATGACATTGGCTACGTTGTTCGGCAACTCAGCCTCAAATTGGTCATCACCACTCACGCGGAAGTCTTTTGTTCAGTGTGCGAGAGCTCATCCGATCACGCCTCTAATTGGCTTGAATCCTCGTATTTAAGCCTCATGACCAAGAACTGATAGTCACGAACACGTGCACTGCGTGCCGATCGTGCTATTATTGTTATTGTTCCAGACCCATTGGAAGCTCATACAACAGTGAGACGAGACAGTTTGTGAAATGGTTTCTTGCTTTTACTCTGCTCGAATCTATTGAAAAACACTAAAGGTAATAGCCTAATGCAGCCCAATGGTCCTCCTTCTTTCGCTATGCAGTCACAAATGTAGGCGCGCGCAGAGTGGTATCTTTCGCAGAAAGCAGCCAGCCAGATTCAATTGCTGGCGCAGAAAACGTGGCATTGTGTTGCCCACCGTAACGTCGTAAGAAATCCTGTAGCTAGTTGGTCAGGTTCCGCTCATGCTGTGATGAAACAAAAATGTTCTGGTGTTTGCGGGTGCTCGCTCCAAAGCAATCAATATGTGAACGCTTCCTCGATGAAGTCCAAACTCGCGTCTTCCACGTGTGCTCGACACGCCGCCCGCACATCGTCGGCCAGCGCGCCTGGACCACACACGGTGACACCGACGGAGCCGATTCTGTCAGGTATTTCCTTCTCAATCACAGCGCGAGGCCGGCAGCGCCCGGGAAACATTTGCACAGAGCCCGTACTCGACACGACTTCTCCTCGGTGCCGGGGTTTCGTAATGAAGAGCTGGATCTTAAGAAGCTCTCTTCGGTGCTCCATTCGCAAGATTTGGTCCATCCATATTCGGACCCATTCCAGGCATTCTGTGTTCGGTACTGACCAGACCAGTAATATCTTACGCGTTGAGCACATTCCTGCCGCGTATTGGGACATCAGGTCGTGGACGTAGCCGATTGCGTGCGTGATGCCGATGCCACCAGCGAACAGGATTACGGTTCCATACGAGGACAACGAGTCGTGCCCGCCGTACGGCCCTTCCATGAAGCCCCACGTTGTTATGGGCTGCCGGTCATTTTTGAGGAGCCTGTCGTACATTTTCCTTGTCATGCCTTCTCGCGCTCGAATGACGAGGGAAATGTTGGTGACTTTGGCGTTGCCAGTCACCGTAACATTGCCATCTGCCGGCTTGTGGGCGACTTCTGCCACGTTCGCCATCTCTGCCAATGTGATGGGCTTCGTGGGAATCTGCACGCGCCCCATCATGCTCTGTCGTGCCAACATACTTTGTCGGACTTGATCGCTGAAAACTCCTGTTGTCATCGGAGGGAGCTTCTCCATTTCAATCTCCATTGCTGGTGCATGTAGCGGCCTGTTTTCCGCCCAAGCTATTGAGAAAGGATGGCTGCCTACCCACGCGATTGACGGCAGGTATGCATGTACGTGTGCACCTGGCCTCCATTTCCACGGCCTCGAGATCTGGTAAGTCACGCGGCATGCTTCTGCTGGAAGCCATTCGATCGTGACTTTGGTCCAACCTCGTTTTCGGCTCCAGTTGTAATACAGGATCCGATAGGTCCGTGCAACCAGCTCAGTGGCCCAGAAGATCAGACTGAGCTGTACGTACGGCAGCATGGGCAGTTTGGCCGCGTCCAGGTGAACGTACACTCCGATAATGCCGAGAAAGGCCAGAATTCGATGCGAGTTAATGAAGAATTCGTAGAAATGATGCCGAATTGGTCCACATGATGCAATCACCAAATAGGTGAATACGGCCGAGCCCACCATACCCCAACTGTAACTCACAGAGGTACTCAAGGAGAGTTCAAGCTGTTTGCTTCCACCAGCGCTCCATGCATTTACTCCCCAGGCAATCGTATGTAGTATACTTTCCAGAACCATCATGCGTGCCGTCCATCGGTGCAATAAGTTGAAAGTGTCGTAGGGCACTCTCAGCAGAGGGATCATGGGGTTGTTTCGAAGCGCGAACAAGATGGTGGGAATCATGTTAAGCGCAGCCAGAACACCGGTACGGCCTCTGAATTCGGCGACCACGCTCGGCGAAGGCTGCGTGTAGTCAAGTGCGGCGCAGTATCCAGCGTTCGAGGCCAAGTAAACGAATAAGAGGAAGGAATGGAATCGCGATGGCAGAGTCCCGACAGTGACCTGTTTCTGCCACAAAGTGAATTCTCGATTGTGTCGCACCCTCCAGAAAGGCGCGTAGAGCACGTATCTTTTGATCCACGGCCACACCTTGGTATGGTTATGCATGAAATAGCGCTGATCCCTTTGCCCTCCCATAGTGAACAGATGCCGCATGTGCTTGTGGATCATTCCGATCCATCTGTATATGAGCGTGCCGGCGAGCAATATCATGAACGACAGGACCAGTACATTGGCCAGGAGGTAGTTCAGATATTGGTTGACTCCTTTGAGGCCATGGGTGAAAGGAGTAGCGGCAGCGCTAAGGTTGAGACTGAGGCCAAAGTCTTGAACCTCTGCGCGGGGAAGTAACGCGCCTGATAAGACATCTGGATTCGGAGGCGACATGACATGCCCGGCATCAGAAGCGAAGGGGACGCCGGGCATGCCTCCGTGTCGGGCGAAATGGTGGTGCTGTAAATGCTGCATCGCGGCCAGCGCGGAGGGGGGGTTGCTGTTGTCTTTGTTGCTTGCAATAAGGAATGAGGGGCCAATGCGTCGCTTTGTGTAAACCAGTGCGGTTCTGGGTTGCAGAGAGGTGCTGCTGGTTCGCACCAGAAGTCGTGGCCGGGTACAGTGCAGTCCTTCCGATGGAGGTAGGGAGCGGTTTTCTGGGATCTCGCGGCGCCGGGGATGCGAAGGATATGACTGCTAAACGAGCGTGGGACGCGGAGGTCGTCTGTGAATGCGCGGCCGAGTCGGTGAGGTTGTAGACAATGCTGTGTCGGGGGTCTGCAATGGCGCGTGCAGTGGACGGCGGCGGTGAATGGAGTCAATGGGAGGCAATAGATCGGCCACGCGCCCGAGGCCCTGACGGAGGGCTATTGTGCCATTGTGTGGAGTGGGAGAGAGGCAGTGATAATGAACTGGAGATTGCTGCGGAAAGGAGAGACGCGGGCCCCAGCGACAATGGGTGGTGCACGGAGCGCAGCTATGTGGACTGCGGTTAGCGGCAGTGGCGGTTCCGGCTGAAGTGCGAGCGGCCCACCGATCGAGGCCCCACGGGAGTTTGCAGCAGATAGATGGAGGGAAAGAGCGACGGCAGCAGGTGCAGGTGCGTGAGGGCGAGTGAAGGGCGGGCGAGGGAGTGGAAGTGGTGGCAGCGCGTCGCAGCCACTCGAGACGCCTTTGTGCGCTCGCGGCCATGCGAGTCGTCATCCCAGCCAAGCTTGTCTGCAGACCTCGTGTTTCACACGCCCGATTGGCCACGACCCGTACCTTGCAGCGATGCTTGTCGTCCATCCACGCGCCTCCACCGCCAGTCGCCAGATTTCTCTTCCGACTTCTGTGGCACAGCGCGCCTAGCGCAAATGGCCCCAGCTGCATGCTTCCTGTCCACTTCGCAGCCTCATGAAGCGAACCCGGCCTCGATACCTCTCACGACCATCGTCTGCAATACCATACCGCACCTCCTGGCCTCAACGACCAGTGCGATCCTGCCGACTTGGCGTGGTCGATCTGCGCCGTGTGGTGCTGAGGGCGCTCGGTGCGCTTCCCGTACGGTCCAGAACTCCCTCTGGCTTGCGCCGCGGACGCCAACGCCCTGTTCACAGCTCCATAACTTTGTGACCAAGAACTAGCCTAGCAGCGCAATTTCGTCCTCGATGTGCTAGCCATATCTGCCAACGCGCCGAGCAGCGTCGGTTGAGAGCGGCAGCATTGGCGAGAATAAGCTGACTTTCCGCTTCGAGCAACTGCAATTCCCAAGCGCCGAGCCAGGAAGGGCACGTGGCTGACGGACGGCAGACTCGAGTCTCGAAGGGCGTTAACGTGCTCAGATATGTCTCGAGATAAATCTTGTATGCAAGCGGTGGATGCAAGTCGGGCCCTATGCAGTTGGAAGACTTATCGCTCGTGCCGCCAATACTCGCTCGCTTGCAAGGTCGTCGTCTCTCGAAACGTAGTCTACTGTAATCATCATTTGTGGCTCCAGTGCATCGTATATTAAGATCCATCGCCTCGTATCTCGAGTTCGACATTGATGAATACTGCTGCATTGCGGCGCGAGGCACTCCTCTTTCCAACCACAAATATGCTCATGGTCCGTTTCTGCATGCGCGCGTCAATGTTGGCTATCAAGCACACCGGTTTCGACAGCTTGGCGGACTGAAAGCTCCCCCGGCATGCCATGTGGCAGTCACGCCACTCCTCAAATCGGGATTATTCCATTGCCGCAGGTAAACAACTGACAGATACTCTAAACGAACGGGCAGTGCGATGCATCTGTCCATGCAACCACAGCTCCATACCGTCGCCAGAATTGACATTCGCTACGACGCAATGTGAAACTTGATTTGAATTTCATCTCACTCATCCAAAGTTTTGATACCGGACCGAACGAGATACCCTTCATCGTCGTTGCCACGGTCGCTCATAGCTATTGCCGCGGCTCGTGAATGCCCGTAATGCACCGATAACGCCGCGCTCCGCCAAATGGTACAGCAGCAATAGTAGCAGTAGTCGCACGTCTCTCTGCCAGGATGTCCCAGTGCCTCCAGCATCCTAGTGCCGAGGCCCCTCCCACAGTCTTCGTCGCTACTCCTGGCGCTCAGGAACTTTTCAACTTCTCATGCCATGGATCATCGTAAAGTTGGAGTTCTAAGCCAAAACGCTCATGTCCACGCGCTTCTCGGTGAAGTCCCAGAGCATCTTGATAAGCTGGTCTGGTAAGGTGTAAAGGTCGACGTGGAACTCCCCATCTGCAGACCTGTCAGTATACGTGGGACGTCAAATTTCATTTGCATCTGAGCAATCTTTGCAGGCCAGACTCCGAGGTCTGGCTCGCTCAGGGCTGGTCCAAGGGTGTACTCACTCTCGACATCGTTCTTAGTGTACGTCTCCTCGCTCTTGTTGTCGTGTACCATTTGCACCACCTGGAGGAGGTCATCCTCAGGAAGTTGTGGCAGGGCCTCCGCGAGCTTCTCCATGTCCACATTGCGGTTCTGCTTCTGTCTCTTCTTCTCTGGCTTCGCGGCTGAGGCACCGTTCGTAGCACCAGCATCGCCGACGGACCCTGATTGACGCAGCGCTTCGAGCAACTCGCCCTTTGGATTCCGGAAAGTGACCGAATGCGTGCTCTCGTAACGCTCCTGCTGGAAGTTGAGGTCGTGCTGTAGAGTCTGATCACCTCCCTTAGGTGCTCCGATTGGCACGAGCGTGATTGCCATGTCGAATTCACCCCATCCTTTCTCCTTGATCGCGAACGGGGGGGCCTTGAAAGCTACGATCAATCAGTATTCACGTTCTATTCGTTCATTCTGAGCACATGTGCGAGAAAGTACATACTCTGCCTCATTCGCTTGCCGAACGACTCGTGGAGGAGGTAGGTCGCTTTTTCGAAGCAGCTCGCTGGGATGTCTTCGCCATCGGGACCGACGAGGTAGATGCTAATGTCCCATGCTCGCATTGGGAAACCCTCGACCTCCGGCGGATCATCGCTGAGCAAGTGGTTAGCCGGATGCCTTTCAGGTTCGCAAGGTTCAGACTTACGTGACGCGCTGGTTAGTCACGAGCTTGACGGTACGCTTGACCTGTTTGCTGGTGTCAGTCTGCCTCTTGCGCTTGGGTTGCGACATGGTGTTGAAGGTGTGCTGTGAGTGCGCGGTTGTGGTGCCGGTGGGCAGTGGATGTTGCGAGCGAATGTGCAAGCGACGAGTGTGGGTTTTGATCGATGAGAATGAGGCAGAAGAGCACTCACGTCTGGCATTGTCGCAGTATTGTCACAAGCTGATTGTTACTGTGCGTAAATTGGCTGCGCGCTCACTCGCGTGCTGGCGCAAGCGCGCTGCGGCTTTGTTGAGTAAAGTGAGGCAGCTGCAATCTAGCAAACTGAAGTCGCGGTGGTCTCGGCTATCGGATGGTTCGGTCGCAGTGTCGTGGAGCGTGTCGAGGTGGAGAGGTGTGCGGATGGAGGAGGCGTGAGGTGGTCAGGTCGAGGTGCTGTGGTGGACCCGCATGGAAAGTCAAGAGTCGAGACGAGCTCGCCAAAAGCGGGACCATCCTCCGTGCGCCATGCGTTCCCTCACTACATTTCATGAACACATGGAATTACAGTCGTGAGCGACAATTCGCACGCTGCACGTGAAATGATTGGTACAGTGCACAACCTGCGATCGTTGGAGAATGGTGGTTCATGCATGTGAGTCTATCTAACTTGCTTTCTGTCTGTGACAATGCTTTCATGAACGGCTTTCCGCTCATTCTGGGAGCGCGTTGTGCATATACAATGCCGCGCGGGGGATCTGTGCATTTTGTGTTGAGGGTATCGATCATTGATCGCAGTACGGAACGCCCAGATAAAATGAGGTGGCGCAGCGTCGTGCTTCAGCCTGTGAATAGGACTTGGACACACAGGCGCTTTATCACTGTCCCTTGGCGTTGGTCAAAGTGGTTGGCAGCAATGACCCGGCCAGAAGCCTGTGGCGTACAGCCTTCGAAGAGGTCATAGTTTAGGACTATTTCTACGCATCGCTCTTGCCGAAGATGGCCTCGTTCTCTTGCTGAGCCTTGATGAAAGCTTCCTTGAACAAGTTCGCATCTGTGGACAAATAATTAGTAAATCTGTAGCCACTTTCGCGACACTGGATTACGTACTCTCTGGGTTGCCGAAACGGATGGCCAAGGTGCAAGCTTCTGGCTCACCCTCCGAAACATCAGCTGCAGCGTTCCATACCCAGCTGCGGTCGCTGCCAACGTTTGGAGAGAGCTTCATGTCCGGGACGACTATACGTTTGTTAGTCAAGTGCATAGCCAAGCGGATAGAGCGCACATACTGTAGTGGTTGGCGCAGACCTTGAGAGTCTTGTCGCGTCTCATAACCAGACGAGTCTTGCCGTTCTCCTTGTGCTTGAGGAGTCGGACGTCGCCAGTGCCGCGCTCCTTCCACTCTCGGCTCTCACGATCGAACTTGAAGAGCTTTGCGCGCATCTTGAATGTCTGTTCCTCGGCCTCCTCGTTTGTCTTGGTCTCAACCTTCTCGGTGAGATGGACGACTGGCTCGAAGTGTGCATCGGCCTCCTCTTCGTCGGCCTTGTCCTCGTCGTCGTCATCCTTCTCGGCGGCTTCCTTATCCTTCTGCGCCTTGGAGCTGCCTGAGCGGTCGTTCTCCGCTTCCTCATCATCCTTCTTGGCCTCCTTCTTGGGTCCACCACCGAACATGCTGAAGACGTTGTCCTTGGCAGCCGTTGCAGCGTCAGATGCCTTCTCGGTGACGCTCTTGTCCTCCGTCTTCGTCTCCGCAGTGGCGTCCACCTTCTTCTCTTCTTCCGCCATGTTTGCTAGTCTTTGGACGATAGTCGGGTGAGATTGATATGTCGTGCGGTCCGGTCTGCTGGAACGCAAGCTTTCTGTCGAGAATGTCGGTGTTTGTGGTGTTGTGTACAAATTCGCGAGAAGGAGGGGTCTTTGGGCAAACGCCCGTGCGCACGACGCTAGTCACCCCTGTCGCCCTTCACGATAAGTCAAAAGTATGAGCACTTTCGCTCGTTCACCATGAGAGCGGTAGTCCCAGTGCAAGAAGGTTTCTTCCTGATATACGGCATGGTCGTATAGCTATTTGGCTGCACACAGGCCGAATTTTTCTGCAACGCGCCCTGGCTCGACTGAGGGGCACGAACACGAAGCCTTGGATTTTTAGCACTCTCGCCAAACCCCACACCGTCTTCAGTACGATGATACGTCTGACGATCACTCAGGCACATTGGCATCGGGACACGTGCATTCTTCAGACGTATCTCTTTGCAGCCACTACTGGACACACGGATCAAGCCGGGCATGAAGCAGGCGAGAGCTGGCCATCAAAGGAGCAACGCGACCATGAAGATTGCGCGGAGTGCTGAAGAAGTCATGCTTTGCACTGGTATTTACAAGCGCCTCCCATGTCCACCGGCCACCACTCCAAAGCTCCAGCGGTGCACTATGCATTAAAATCCAGACTCTGCCATCCGTGCTCCTGGGTATGTAGCTTGCAGATTTGCGAAGAGCGCTTCGCCACCTCTAGTCAGGTCTGGTATCTCTGGACACCCCAAGGTCGCTGTTACGTCGCCAACCAAGCCGAATATGGACGCGTAAATGTTATTGGTGAACGACGGCGAAACAAATTTAAGCATTTGCAACAAGAAGCAAAGCAGATTGGTGCCCTCCAACAAGTTAGGAAGATTGGCAATTCCTGAAGCCGGGTCGTTGACATTAACGCCAACAAATGAATTTGGTGTCCCGGTATTACCTCCAATACTTGCCAGCTCCGGACACAGCCCAAACCAGACCAAGAGCTCAGTTATGTGGCCAAGGAAATCAAAGGGCACTGGCCTGCGATACCAATTTTCTGGAATCCTTTCCCATCCTTCGCGGTACGTGAAGGGTACAGGATCACTGGTCAGGCCGTAGAATGAGTACAGGATGTCGTGCGTCAACACTCCATCTATGCTGCCATCAGAGTGGTTGCCGAAGAGCATTATGACCTCTTGTGCGAAGTTCCGGAAGTAGCCTGTGCCTGGACCGTAATAGAAGAACGGGTTCCAATCTTTAGATTGGTGCCAGCGAACACACGAAGCCCGCACGATGGCCTCGCGTGTGAAGAGACCGCCATATGGCACCGATTCATAGAACTGGAGGAACAAATTCACGTCCATCGTCCAGGCGTTTCCATACTGGTAGACGTCCTGGCGCGTCATGGATGAATCGCACTCCACGAAGTTGTGGGTGTGTTCAAGACCTTGCGGTGTGCCTGAGTCTCTTTGTCAGCCTGTTTCTGATTGCAGCCCCTTATCAGACGCACCGAAGATGCCTAGCAGACCATCAAGAGGAGCCCCAACTCTTGGATCTGGCCCACCCAGTGAATACTTCATCGTTACAGGGTCACCGCCCGAGATGACTGCAGCAAGGACAGACAACAGGGCAATGTCATATCCCAAGTTGAAGACCGCCATTGTTCCTTCGATCACCTCCCATATTGAGACGATCCCAGTGTGACTGATAACGTGGTGGTTTGCAAGCGCATTCTGACCCGGGCATGGGCCTCGTTGATCGTCTGCAAGTTTTCAGTATCGCTGAGCTTGTACTCAAACCCTCAGGAATACTTACATGGACCCGGAGGCTCAAAGGGAAACTGGCCCCAAACGTCAATGGGACCATTACCTATATCTATACTGCCAAAACCTGACCATCCGCCGCCAAAGCTCAGAGCGGCGTCAAGAGTTCCTGTATCAGTCCAAGTAAGACGCTGCACGTATGCGCTTCATCAAGAGAGAGGATTCACATTCGCATACCAGGAGCCAGAGCATCCACCAAACCAGTGAGTACCTCGAGTTGCCGAGCATATAGCTTCTGTTGTTCTTCAGTCCGCTCCTTGGTCTCGAACTGTGCAGGCTGCTCGCGCGCGTGCGAATGTCGATTATCGTTTATAAGCCCGACCAGCTCCGGATATGCGTATGCATGAAAACGTGTTGAAAGAATTGGAGTGAGCGACAGAATTAGACACAAACGAGCGAGTTGGAACAACATCTTTACCACTCCATGTGGTCGCCAGAATCGCAAAATTCGGCGTCAGTGCTGCCTGGCGCTATCAGCAATATGAAAGCGGCTCACCTGGTTGGAATTCGCCGCATCGTGCACGCGTGTGTCGCCAATGCCTCGCCAAACGAGAGCGCAGCCTTGCTGCAAGTAGGGATAAGTTATGCCCATGCTATTCGTGTAATTCCAGATGCAAGCTGGTCCCAGGAAGTCCTCCATTCGGCGCCGCAGGCACACTGTCGACCAAACTCTATAGGCTTGTTGCAACAATGTTCTGGGCTTCACATTTAATGGGGTCAGCGTGTTGAGCGGGGGCTGACAATGTCGTTAACAAGGTATTCCCTGCTATCACCAAGTGAGCTTGGCCGAGCGACGCCTTGAGACGGACTTCTTCATGCTGGGAGTCCACCGGTCACAGAAAAAACTATTTGGCCAGCGGCAGTTCAAAAAAGGTCAATTAACGACGGAAGTTATTGTTGAATACTTTTTTCTTCATTAGCCACATATTGCGGAGACGACAAATGGACTGTGACAGAGTGACTGAGCTGGAGTATTTCACTGTTGTTCTTGGCGATTTGCTGGACTCACACATGATCCACGATCAGAAGGCTTGTCGCAATCCTGGTATGTTCACTAACCAAGCATGGATGCCTGGACATGACAGCTCATCTGAACTCCATGGCCGTTCACTGCGAGTCGGGCGCCAGGCACATTTGTGCTTGCTCGACTTGCTCTGGACAACCGGCACAGGAGCAGTGTTTTTCAGGAAACAGAACTTGCGGTGCCATTGTCGGGCGGCACACTCAAAAACGACGACTGCATCGAGACCGATGCATCCAGTTATGGCTTCCCCTCGCCGCACTTGTCAACCAAACGCTCTGACTCTGTTTAACAGCATGCGCTGCACCAAGTTCTCGGTGCACAAAGCCAGGGGCGAAAAGGATGTGGTATTCCAGGGCACGCTGCTCAATTCCGAGTTTGTCGAACTCTCGAAGCGACAGACTCCGCATGTTTAGGAGATTCGTGATTCGCTCTCGTTCCGTGCAGGGAGCGTGGTTGAGGAGGAGAGTTCTATTGAACCGGCTTGCGGCATGCATCTCCAGGAGCCGACACATTGTATGCCAGGCTACCAACAGGAGCTCCATCGCGGCTACGAGTCTGCTGCAATCATAGAGATATGATTGCGCTTCCGCTGACATCTGTGCAACTCAACCTCCTGGGCCATCTTCCTCTGCGAAGGTGAACACACCGTCGACCGCCAACATGCGTTCCTGTTACGCTTTGACATCATTCTTTGGAGCAATCACCATTGTCACTGCCACATCTTTCGACCTGTCACGAAGATGGCCCGAGTCCTTACCCGAATCTTTCGCCGACCCTTACGCCGACCCTTTCGCTGATCCTCTCGCCAATCCCTTTGCGGATGCTTTTGCACAAAGTTCATTCGATGCCGATGATGCTGCTCAAGCGAAAAAAGCAGCAGCTCTTAAGTTGATCGGAACAATGCCGAAGTGTGGGGTGTGTAAAGCCGCGCTCTTCTGTCTGCATTGCATGCACTAATGCCATTGCAAGCTTGTGTGCATAGCGAGCTCGGTTCAGGCATCGCCATGCTCCTTCGAGGACACTAATTGTTCTTGCAATAACAAAACGATCAGCGAGCAGGCAGCACAGTGCATCATGGTGAGCTGTACAGTCAAGGAAACATTGAGTGAGAACCCAATGATAGCTCGTCATCGAAAGTCATGCTGACTCGGATTCACAGCAACGAAGAACATATCAGACACCATATGTGGGAAACCGATTCGCGACAAGACTGGAATCACAACTGGCACAGGTATAGGCGGAATGATCTTCGCCATCGTCGCTGTAATCATTCGTACCATTTCGAAGATTCATATTCAGACTGGAGGCGGCACGCCTGCTGTGACCACCGATCTGTGGTGGGACGACTTGGCTGTTGGAACATCACTGGTCTTCGTCATCGCGTTCGGTGTGATTCCAGTGCCATGTAAGTCGTGGCCGCGATTCCCAGTGTGAGGTAACGGCACAGAGCTGACCATTTACACAAGTGACTCGTCTTGGCTTGTAAGTCTCGTGGATATTCCGATGAGAGTGGCGGACTGATTCTGTTCGCAGCGGCAAAGACGTTTGGACGGTACCCTTCCAGAACCTGACACCAATGGTAAAAGTACGATGGCCTGAGCGTCCATGCAGAGGTAGCGTTGCTGATCATTCCCAGTTGATGTTGGCGGATGAGATTGTCTATGTCTTCGGTTTGGGACTTGTCAAGATATCGCTCTTGCTGACCTATCTGCGCTTCTTCTCCTCGGATCGCTTTCGACACATCACATACGTCGTCATCGTGCTGAACGCATTGTTTATACTATCATTCGTTATTGTCATCCTGACCCAATGCCGGCCGCTTTCATACACATGGTATGTACCCAGAATCGTTGTTCTTGGCCATGCTCTCACAACTTTACAGGAACCAGTGGGATGGGGAGCACAAAGGCAAATGCCTGGCTCTCAACCCCATCGTTTGGTCATCGTATGTCCTTGGCCCATTGATTTTCGCTTGGCTGCAGACTGCTGACTTGCTTTATAGCGCTATCATCAACATTATTTTGGACTTCCTAGTCCTTGGCCTACCGATCTACCAGCTCTGGAAGATGAATCTGAATGTCGCGAAAAAGTTGCAAGTCATGTTCATGTTTGGGGTTGGTTTCTTGGTCACAATTATCAGTATTATGCGCTTGCATTCAATTGTCGATTACGGCGAGGATAAGAATTTCACCTACTCGAGGGTGATTCCAGGGGTCTGGGTAAGTGCCAGTGTCGCTGACTTTGGGAATCGATCAGAACTAACCAATCATCAGTCCAAGCTGGAGCTGCAGCTCTCCGTTATTTGCGCTTGCATGCCTGCAATTCGACAAGTCATTGTAAGTTCCAATCGACCTTTGCAGCATCGGAACGGCAGATGTGCGCACGGCGCTATAGACATCAGGAAACTGACCCCTCCCAGCGACGTTTCTCGCCGAGACTGATTGGCACTACTCGTGGCGAGGGCACAACAACAGGCATCAGCACGACGCAGTCGGGGCTGAGTGGGCGTACGTCTTTTTGGATGAGGTCTCTGCAGTCGAATGTGCAGAGCAGGACGCTGAACAGTGGGACAGGCACCATCGCCATTTCAGAAGTCGGCAAAAGCGCCGATACGGAGGTACGCGGCAAGAGTAGCTCCCACTCCACGATCGAAGAAATGGACTGATGGATGCCTTTGATAGCACTTCGTACCACTGCAAGAAATTCCTGCTCATCAGCATTCGAAGTCTTCCAAGTCCACAGTGACGCAGGTCTCGGAGATATCATCGCACATATGAGGCCATGAAAAGGTCGTAAAACGTTTTCCGCCCAAATTTTGGCGTCACAGGTACGAACAGAATGATGTTCACTCATCTCAAGAGTCTGTGAAATTGCTGATCGATATGAAGGCCAGGATGAGCTGCTGTCCTCGGGCATCAGGAAGTTGGCAATATTCGCAGCCTCGGCACTTTTGCTGCACAATACAACGGAAGCAACGCCAGTGGCACTTCTGTCCCGATTGCTGTGCTGGGCCCGTGCATGAGCTTGGGTATGTTGGTTTATCTGAATACGATCAGGTCAATGGCAAGAGATCCATGCCTTGGAGCCGTCTTCCCCTGAACTTTAATTCCTGGACGAACGCATGCTGTATGTGCACGCACACCTAGGACAAGGCCACCCATGTGCTCGGACAACACTCGAGCACAACGATCCTGTGGTACACAAGCGAGAGAACACCGGCTGGCGGGATCGCGGCATTGATCGAAGGCCCGGTTCACTTGGACGTGCAAAGCTGGCTTTGCGTGTGCTTGGATTCAACAGAGCTGGGGCCGCAGTCGGTTGTCGCTCGGATTATGCTCTGAAAGGAGATGTGGAGCATGAGAGCTACACAAGAAATAGCGACCCAATCCAATGTCATAGCGTGTCTGAGCCAGAGCCCGCGATTCCGATACCGTCTGTCATGGCCGTTGTTCGACACCGCGAAAAGATGTGACGGCGGTCCAACAACGAAAATATCGTATCCGCCTGAGATGCCAGGCTTCTCCGAGGTAGTGCTCGTGGAGCACTGATTCGAACCAATATGGTCCACGTTGTACAATCGTAATCCACACCGCTCTAGTGCTTCACCAGCGTTCTGTCAGAAGGCTGCGTTTCAACATTTCGCCCCAGAACCCTATTAACCAGGAACCGCGTGAGCACGAGGCCGGTGACATTCTTGTTTTGTCAAGCCTGGTCGTCAAACATCACAGATGCTGTACCTGTGTGAATTGTACGTCAATCTGTATTATCGAAGGTCTGATCAGCCAGAGCTGATGTAAATGTGGTGATGTTGTTGCCCATGCAGACAGAACGATCGGGAGTTTTCGTGAAGTGACCCAGCGGGAGGAGCCGTGCCAATGGCAAGAGTTGTTACGGCAAGGACCGAGCTTGCACACGAGAAGTTCGAAGCTCCATCATCATCACTGACACGACCAGCGCTGCGCACGCAAACCCGACCATACGCCCCTGGTGACGCCCCAGGCCGCATCCGCTTGTGTTTCTTCGCGCCCGCACCGCTTTTCTCCTCCGCTCTCCCTTCCCCCGGCCGCCGCAATGCTTCGAACAACACCTCTCCTCCGGCAGTCCCTGACCAGCCTGTCCTCATCGCGGACAGCCGCCGCGAGCCTCACTCCTCTCGCACGAGGCCAGACGACACAGCAGAAGCGATGTGCACACGCCATTTCCAACCCTACTCTGGCCAACATTGAGAAGCGGTGGGAGGCTATGCCACCACAGGAGCAGGCTGATCTGTGGATGGCCCTGCGTGACCGCATGAAGGTGGATTGGAACGAACTCACTGTGCAAGAGAAGAAGGCCGGTACGTGATGTCTGCTCTATACAAATCATCCCGATTCGAGGCGCGTGCGCGCGTCTTCCACATATGATCTGGCGGAAAGCGTTATGCCGATGAAGCCCCGGCGGAGTGTACTACGCCTTAGGGAGCTGCCATTGAGCCTGGAAAACGGTATAGATGTGTTCCGCATACTGACCCGATGTTGTACAGCATACTGGATTGCTTTTGGACCTCACGGACCTCGCGCGCAGGCTCCCCCAGGCGAGAACACCAAGGTTTTCGCATACACCATTGTTGGTGTTCTTGCTGCCGGTGCGCTCTTCGGCTTTACCAGATATTTCGCTCGCGAGAAGCCACGCACCTTGAACAAGGAATGGCAAGAGGCTTCCAATGAGTATTTCAAGGTAAGTGGTTGCCATTCACTGAATCTGCTGGTTCCCGTTTCAGCAGCCTGCTAACGCGCTACGCCTACAGGAGAAGCAAATCGAGCCAATCACTTTCATCGGCGGCGAGGACTACAAGGGCAAGGGCCTCGTGCAGTCACCTCCCAAAGGCAAGGACGAGTAAACTGTTCCCATAGACGCGAGCCGCAGAGTGTTGTACTATCTGTCCATATTAGAGCGGTAAATCGCATATCTCACTCGACTCACGAGCGTTTTTCCTTGTGTTGGCTGTAGGGAAGTTTGCGGTAAAAGTGGGAGAAGAGTGAACGAAAGGCGTTTTGTCTTGCTGAACTTTTCAGTCGCAGAGAAAGCCACCATGTACAAAGGAGCGCAGTATGGCATAAATCTTTTACAATCACTTCACACGCCTGTTCGTGTTGCAGTGTTATTGCCGAACTTCGAACAGACGCAGATAACCAATGCTATTGTTACCCTCCGAGTATGAATACTTGAAGCTCGCTCAATGCTTGTGTGTATAGGCACCGCTAGGCTCGGACAACGGGCGCTCTGAGCAACCAGCGATATGGCCCCATCAACGAACAGACCCAGCAATCCGAAGCGAGCATCGTCAACCATGGCAACTTTCCCTCCGTCCATGGGAGCCTTCGCAGTTGACCTGCTTTGGAGGCTCGATGCTCGTACATTCGTTCTGACCTTGGCTTTTCACCCACACGTCCTCGATTACGGTGGTCGCGTCAATCGCGGCCGCAAGTCTGAGGCCAACACACGCGAACAGCACCAGAACACCACTGTCACACACCTCGGGAGAGACCAAGTTGACTCGTTCGGGGTAGGCAGTAGCAAGACGAGACATGTGCAGGTAGAGAAGTCATCAGCAGATTTCGGACAGCTCCACCGTACCATGTTCTGACTCTTTTGCAAAGCGAGACGAATATCAGGCGGGGATATCTTCTCGAGACCAGAGTAGCCTCAGGCTACCAACGTGCTTTCTCCCGCGAGAGGCATTTTCCTTTCCTAGTCGTTATCAGCCACACACTCTTCCCGGCCGCGGAGCATAACGGGTTGTACAAGTGGGCATAGCTTTCCGGCCATTACGTCTTCATAATTGCTCTTTCGCAAAAAGGCCTTCACATGTGTGGCTTAGCCCACGCTACTGACAGGCACCAGCCAAGTAAGACGCAGCGGTAGTCTTCACCCAGTACACGACGAGAACACTACTCAAGCTTTCGGAGGAAGTACCGAAGCTTCGATCTCGATGGAAAGTTGTGACAGCGTCGGCTATGCCAGATTCAGCCCCAGAGCTCTGGTAGCTTCATGCATGAGGTGCAGCTCGACCAGATTGTGTAGCTGTAGAGATCTGCGGAGGGCAAGTTCCTCATCGGGCAGTGAAGGTCTTCTCATGGTCAGGCGGAAGCACGCAAGTTCAAATAAAACAACGAAGTGAAGTGGAAAGAATTCTTCTGAATAGGTATTATTCAGCTGGCTATCATACTCTTGAGATCGCCAGGTTGCGACTCGTATAGGTCCTCCCCTTGGCGCAGTACAACAATAACCCGTAGCTAGGTACTGTGTGAGCTCAGCTGGTGGTAAGAAAGGTGAAGAGCTGCCCTGTGGAGTCGTTAATTTATGTGGAGTGGGTGGAGAGAATGCAAGAGAGCACTGACGTTTCTCGTTCCATCGTAGAAGTCGGTCTGTCGAAGAGAATTTAGATGCCCTCCTTGTTGGCCTTAGCAGCGCCCTCGTGCTTCTTCTGCTCGAGGCTGTCGCTGACAGCGCCGGCGGCACCAGAGACGCGGTCACCAATGCTGGCGTTTGGGGTGTTGCCCTTGGCCTGCTCCTTGTTGGCCTCCTTGGATGCCTCAGCAGACTTGCCCTGGACGGTCTCAGAGACGTATTGAGCGGCGTTGTTGATCGAGTTGCCTGTGGGGAGGTACATTGGTCAGTGGTGAAGGCAACAACGAGGGGCTGGGAACTGGCCTACCGATCTGGCCGATGATGCCCTCGTTTGGCTTGTTGGCGTTTGGTGCAGACATGTTGATGGATTGGTTTGGGGAGAGTGTTGGAAGTGGTGTTGTTTTGGTGAAATGTGAAGTGTTGTTTGTTGTCGGTGCTGTGAAGAAAGAGGCTGTGTTGGAGGGGCTTATATTCGTGTGCAGCTCTTGCCTGACGTAGCTACCTACGCCACATCGTGGCAGGCGCGATCGCGCTCGTCACGCAGTCTCAAGTGCAAATCGTGTCACATGGGTCGTCTGAACGCGCCACGCAACACCACAGACGAGCCACCTGGCTGGCCGCGAACGGATGCGATGACGAGTGAGGTCTGGATCGGCCTTTGTCGTGCTCGTCTACCGAAGCCGGGCCTTCCATTCCCACAACACCCCGCATCTCATTGGTTGCTATGTCCATCTAGCATTCCACGAACCTGGTTTCGAGCATCTTCTTCACGTCCTCTTGACCTTCGTCACCATCGCAGCTAGCAGCTGTCTCTGAGCTCCCACCTCTCATCCCACTCCATCCGAGGCTCAGCTTTTTGCACCTTCCGGCAACGGGATTGGAGATCGGGTCGCTCGGAGCATGTGAATGGCCTGTCCTGATCGAGCCATCGCATGCGTCTACGCAGCGTGGAGACGTCATGGCCGCAGGTCAAACAGGCGAGAATTCTACCAGCTGCGAAAAGTAGATGCCTGATCTCGCCCGGACGGCCTATCTAGGACTTAGCCAGGAACCTCACCTACGTGTTGTCAACTCGGCAGGCAGAGATCTGTCCAGAAAGGAGAGGATCTGTCACCCTAGATCGATCTGCCATTGTGAGAATCCTTTTTCGAGCGTCTCGCACGACCGCACCGCAGTTTGCAGGTTGCTCATGCCAAATCTGTGGGCGTCTGTGTCTCGCCATGTCCATAACACATTGTGCGTCCAACTGGTGAAGTCAACGCCTTGCTGGGATCATTCTTGGCGGTCAAGAGAGCGAAGAAGTTCCGCACCATTAAGACCTGTTGAGATTGAGAGCCATGTACTCTGTGAACCCTATGGCATACGAATCTACAATTATTTGTGCAGTTCCGATCCAGCCACCCACGACCGAGAATTACAGTACATTGGTCTTAGCCTAACTCCAGAGCTGTGCCTAAGATCAAACGCTCATGCATCAAGACCGCGAACTCACACTTTGACAGATCTGAGGGCCCAAAGAGAATGCCAGAGATCGCAGCCTGAGAGGAGACATGCTGCGCTACACTCCGCCTCGAGACACCATCTTCTGTCGTGCTCACGAACTGGCATCCTCCTTCGGTTGCCGCTTCATACACATATGCCGTAGCTCGTCGTGGAACCCATATTTCCTCGCATCAAACGGCAGCACATCCACATCCTCAAATCCCCATTTCCGGTAGAGGCCTTGGCCCATCGGCGAGCCCTCCAAATAAGCCGGAATGCCCAATTGATCTGCCTTATCACATCCCCACTTCATGGACAGCGCTCCCACGCCCTTCCGTCCTTGGTCTGGTCGCGTAGCCAAGACTTGCAACAGGAGATATGGCTTGCTTCCAAGATGCTTCTTCTTATACTGCGAAGCCACATTTGCAAAGTCCTCGTAAAAGGTCGTATTCATGCCGGGCGGGACACCATACTGCTCAACATCTCGCTTGCTTGCTTCCTCTTCTCTTCTAAAGTCTTCCTCGGTTCGTTCCTTGTCGAAAAGCTTCCACTGACTGACTCCAATGACTTTCTGAAACGGGTCATCGTCTGGTAGGTCCGTGTCGACTACCTTGAAAACACTGATGCGCCCAGGATATCTGTCTGCGCCTCGCCTCATTTCAGAAACCATCATCTCTTTGGCCTTGTCGCTCATTCCGTCGGGAAATAACAAACTCATGAATCCAGGTCGGAAAGCTGCGGCACAGACGTCGTAGTAGATATCCCACTCGGACTGAGGCATCGGGAGGAGTTGGACTGGCATGTTTGCAGAGGTGTGACTTTTTCTGATGGCGACTGGCTTGTGGTCTGGTTTCCTATTGTCTGTGAAGGTCTGGGATTGTGATCGATTGGAAGTCTGAAAATGCTCAACAAATGGAGTGGTAATAGAATGCCTATATACCTACCATTGTCCGCGGCTACCGCGAGGTATCTGCGTCCTGCCAAGTCGGGGTTGGAACAGACAATGTCATCGTGCTTCGCCGCAATGAGGCTTTTGCAATCAGTCAAAGTACATACTGTGCTAGCATATCCCAAGATCTCGCTTCGATGCCTGCGGATGAACTCCGTGTAAATATTCGCGTTGACTTGTGGCTGATTTGCTCTCGGAGTTCGAGGTTCTCCACATCCACATGTGGTGACGGTTTTGGCCACAACTCGGGGAGGCTCGACCACTTCCATCGTCACTTCCATATTGATGACACCTTTATCAGCTGTGCATTGCTCTCTTCATGAGCTTTCTCCAACAACGTGAGACGCCAGTCTCACAAAAAGCAACGATTGCCCAACTCTCGTCTTCCCAATGCCACTTCGGAAACATATTCTCATTCTAGTTCCTTCCGTTACACAAAATGTCTCCGCGTAGCTTCCAAGCGCACGGCAGGCTCCAGCAAGCAGGGCCACAATCCTTCAGCTGAAAATAATGGCACGATACACAAACAAACATAAAAGCGCCACCTGATTGACGAACTCCGCCTGCCTCACAATACTATCGCCATCAACCCACCCAAGCCAACCCGCGGCTTCCACGCACACCTTCAAAGCATGACAGACCAACAAAACCCAACCCTCCCACCAGAACCACCATGGCCACAAGAAACCGGAATATGGGGCTCCTACGCCCTCCACTGCCACTGTGGCGCAATCCGCTACAACATGAAACTCTCGCCTCCAATCTTCGAATCCGAAGCAGAAGGCAAAGGAGTGTACCCCGTCATGTCTTGCAATTGTTCGTATTGTGAAAGAGTCGGGTATCTTACTGTTCATCCTTTGGTTGAGAATGTGGAGTTTACACAAGGTATGATTATCCACCTCTTCTTCTTCATTGGCTTTGATGATTGAGGTTGGTGGGTGTGTATAGCGCTGATGCATCACAGGTCTGGAACATCGCGCAGAATACCTAACAAGCGGTCAAACTGCACCATTATGGTTCTGTAAGAAATGCGGAAGTGCTCTCGGAGCTGATATTAGAGGTTTGATGGAGAAGATGGGAGCTCCACTTCGATATGGATTGAATGTCAGAATGCTGAAGGATAGTGATGTGAAGAAGCTTACGATCAAGGAAGTCACGTTCATGAAGGATATGCCGCCCAAGTATGACATTGGGCCTCCTGAGAGTGAGAAAAGCCAGGCATAGATTATCTGGTAGTTGTCTATTGACATTTCAAGGATATACATGAATCGACAAAAACGTTTGTATTGTACAAATTTGGCGCTTTTGTTTATCCAAGCATTCGTTTGCAAGAAGGCCCCGACCTGCCACGTTGCGAGTAACTCAATGTCTTGGTCGATATACTTCTTTTGAGTGAAGTACGGGGCCGGATGTAAGATCCCGCAAGGATTAAAATCTCTGATGCTGATCAAGTCCATCGCATTGGTAGCGCGCGAGGGAACGCAGACGCTGTGCGATATGCAGCGTGTATTCTGTCAAGCAGGTAGATGGTATTCCAAAATGATGCTCCAGGACGGCTGTAATGATATGGCACCAAATGAGCCTTCTCGGTTTGCCAAATGATGTCTTTCGCGTGCTGGCTGGAATGAACATGCAAGGGCCAGGGTGTGCGGCTGAGATGTAAATCGTGGATAGCTCACGAATGTGGTGGATTCGGAGTTGAGATACTCTCGGTGTGATGTTGATGCACAAATTCAGTACCCACTTATTCGTTCGATGTCGTGCACAGACGTATGCGCTTCAGCCCTTGGGCGATTTCGCTCGCCCTCTGGTGATACTGGGCAATGTTGGCATCTTTGCATCCCGCACAGCACTCTGAGCTTGGGCAACGGCATCACCAAGCAAGACGCGGATGGCGGTCTCCAGTCTGCGATCCTTCTTGCGACGCATATAAAGAATGACGATCCACAGGATAATGGCGTCGGCGACGAAGAGCTGGACAGCCCACCAGCTCAATCTCAATACCCAACCCCACCAACTGTGTTTTCGCTGATAGCTGAAAAAGCGTCTGGCCTCGAGTTGCTCTCGCAGGGCTGCGACTTCAGTCGTAAGCTTTATCAGGGAGGACTCAATCCGCTTCCGCCATCGATTGTCGGCCGGTGAGGATGGAGAGCGAGGGGCACGAAAGCGATCGTTCTCTGGTTCTCCGCCGGATTCAGAGGCGTGCTGCAGGTCGCCTTCGTCGATTTGTGACACTGGCGCATCGACAAATTCTTCCCTTTCCTCGTCCGCGAGATCATCTTCATCAACCTCTGACTGAGGGGCCAGCATGGTGAGCCCTTTCACCCGATCTCGTCCCCCACTCATAGCTGCGGCTTCAGATCTCCCTGCGCCATTCTCACCAGAGCTTCCCGAATGCATATAGTCTCTGCGCTCAATAGTCTGCAGAGGTGAGGAGTGCTCGGAGCTGGAAGGTTGAGAATTATTTTTGATCTGGTCCCATACAAATTCAAGCTCCTCAACCAGCTCGCGAGCCTCGGGAGTAGTCGAGGCGTACTTGTGCATCGTGTCTATCAGCTTTTCAATATATCGACGCTTGGCCTCGGTTCGGCCGAGGCCTTCGTTTGCTTTCCATGCATCCCACTTCTCTTGCTCTTTCTTCAATGCGTCTGTGGTCAAGCCAGGGCCGGGCGACGTGGGTCGGTCGGATATGAGGCAGACATCACCCTCCATCGATTGCTTGTACAGGCCATAAAGTGCGAGTCGATCGGATGATGGCGGCTTTTGCGAGCCCGGTCGAATGCGGTTGACGGTGTTGAGGGCATGGCCAAAGACTCGGTCTAAGCATAGCAATGTCAAATGATGCGTCCCTTTGGCCGGCGCAGACAAAGAAAGACGAATGCGTACCCACAGAGTCGGCCATGTTGATTATTCTATCGCAGCGGCGATGGCCCCGCGGGTCCGATCACGAACGGGCGGTGGATGGCAGGATGGCGCGCGGATGAGTGATGGCGATTCGCCCGTCGTCGACTTCAGCGCATGATGGAGATGGGCGGGCAGCAAACGAGACCATCGCGTGCAACAGAGCGAATGCATGTACAACAAGGATTCTCCACTCGCCTTCGCTGTCCCATGATACCGCGGCACTCCAGAGTAGAGTTCGCGCCAGCAGTGGATTCCGTGGCAGCCCCTGCCTGAGGCACAGACACCTAAACGCTCACGCCTGAGCGTAGGGACAGGCAGTCGACACTGCTTACTTCACTCCATCACGTCCGGTATGCTGCTCCATTTCGCGGAGACGATGAACGTTCAGCACAACGCTCTCTTTCCATCAGGCGTCTCATCAACTCTCCCTCCTGGCATCGATTCTGTGGCCTTCCAGACGCCTGTGTCGCTACACGATCCAGCAAGCCATGTCAGCAAAGATTGACAAACTGCTCTGCTCGCTGAGAGCTGCGCCATGTCATAGAATGATTTAAGCCAGCTAAGAGACTAACATCGCTGACTGCAGACCACGCGTGCACGCTTGGCCCGTTAATGGCGACAAGATAAGATGGAAAGATCCAGATCGGAAGTCGGCACCACGCCTCAAATTCTTGACTGCGGAAAAGGAAAAGGACGCATATTTTCCGCTTCCAAGACAGCATTCGAGCAAATCAAAAAGGCCACCGCCACGGCACATTCTGCACTATGAGCAACAGGTGAACCAATCTTCGTACCCGTTTATCTCCATTACGCCCAAGCCGACTTCGCTCAATCGACTCTATGCACGCTAGCCAACGATACGCGGCCATCAATGGCTTTCTTCTGCTTCAGCGATTTCGGCGGGCAGATGAGTGCACGCTATACGCTCTCTGATTGTGATAGATGGCTATCGGCCGACGCATCCTGGCGCCCTGTGCATGTATTCTGCCGTTGACTGTGATGCGCAGCAGATATTCGGTCAGTTGTGACCGAAGTTGAGTCTGTGTCGTATATTCCAAGTTGAGTCAGATATTTTTCTCTTCCTCTTTGTTGCAAAATTTCTGTATCGATTCAAAGTCATCCAACTTCCCATGCTCTGACTATGAAGGACCACATCGAGAAGCAGCATCCCACAGAGGCGGTCGAGGAAGAACATGAGACCAGAGCAGAGTCTATCAAGGACGATTCACATTCTGTACACGACTCCGCCGATGAGAAGAAGTTTACAGCCTCAAGGCCGAAGCATGAAGGAGGACATGGAGAGACGGATCTCGAGAGCCAACGCCCGAGCATGCAATTACAGCACACGAGGTCACATATGTCCACCCATGATGCGCATCCTGCCCACGACCAAGAGTTCTACGAGGAAGGAGACGAAATATACGACAAGTTCTCCAAATGGAAAAAGATCTCAATCGTAGCCATTCTGAGCTTCTCCTCCTTCTTAGCTCCCATCAGCTCCACCAGCATCTTGGCTGCTTCTCCAGAAGTTGCGAGCACATACGATACGACAGCATCCATCTTCAACATCTCTAACGCATTGTATATGCTGTTCATGGGTCTCAGCCCACTGTTCTGGGGGCCGATGGGACAAACTTACGGCAGGAAGTGGACTTTGGCATGGGCGGCCGTAACATTCACAGCATTCAGTGCAGGATCAGCACTAGCCCCCGATCTCGGATCTTACTTCGTCTTTCGTATGCTCACAGCCTTTCAAGGCACGGCATTCTTGATCATTGGCGGGACTGCAATCGGCGATATCTATAGACCAGTGGAGAGAGGCACTGCTTATTCTTGGTTTATGAGTGGGACGCTCATTGGTCCTGCATTTGGTCCATTCATTGGAGGTAAGACTTCATCATCCTTAGGACGCATCCATGCCTTGCATGATGACTGACATATCCCTTCTTCAACAGGCATCATCGTCAACTTCGTCACCTGGCGAGCCATCTTCTGGCTCCAAACAGCTCTAGCCGGCCTCTCCTCCGTTCTTATCATCTTCTTCCTCCCTGAAACCATCCACAAGAAGCGCTCGGACGAACTCAATGGCCTGCCCAAATCCCAACAAGCCAAACAACTCTGGAAATGGATCAATCCCGCCCGCGTCGTCATCCTCTTCAAGTACCCCAACCTCGTCATCGTCGCCGTCGCAAGCGCGAGCTTGGTCTGGAACATGTACAGTCTCCTCACACCAATCCGACAAGTGCTCAACCCACGCTTCAATTTGAGCTCCCCAATCCAATCGGGACTCTTCTACATCGCTCCTGGCTGCGGATACTTAACCGGTACATTCTTCGGAGGACGCTGGGCCGATGCCGTGGTGAAACGATACATGAAGAAACGCGGCACCCGCGTCGCCGAAGATCGTCTACACTCTTGTCTTCCCGCCATGGGCATCGTGATCCCCGCTTCGATGATCGTTTATGGCTGGAGTATCGAGAAGAAAGTCGGTGGGATCGCATTACCGGTCATTGCCATGTTTTTGCAGGGTGTGGCGCAGTTGTTTTGTTTCCCTTCGTTGAATACTTATTGTTTGGATGTGATGCAGAGTCGGAGTAGTGAGGTTGTGGCAGGGAATTATTTTAGTCGGTATTTGCTTGGTGCTGCTGGGTCGGCTGCTGTTTTGCCGATTATTGATGCGATTGGTGTTGGGTGGTTTAGTACGATTTCGGCGGCGTTTGTTGCGGTTGCGGCGTTGGGGACTTGGGCTGTGGCTGTTTGGGGGAAGGATATGAGGGATCGAGTTGATCAAGGAAAAGAGGTTGAGTGATCGGACATGGACGGAGTAATTTTGCATCATGGGAATGGGCGGCCTTCTAGAATGATACCCGGTAACTGGCGTTGGATTGAAGACTTCTACGAATAATGAAGAACTTTTGATAGATCAAAATTACAGAGCGATGTGACCTCTTACATGCTTCGTTCTAGTCGTTTCAAGGACCATCCAAACCCATCATCGTAAAGGCTTCATCAATTCTCTCAAATCCCTCATCCGATAATCCTCTATCACCGTTTCCCAATCATCTCTCAATAATCCATAAGTCTCATTATCATAGCCCTCAGGCTTCCGCGGATTCAGCGCCCAGTACCCCCAGTCAGCGTCAGTTTCTCTAAGTATCGTCATCAAATTCTTCCAATAGTGCAAAGATTGCTCATCAGCATGATGCGGAGCACCGAATTCTCCAACCCAAACAGGTGCAATATTATCTTCAAGCAGAAAAGCCCAGTTATTAATCATGTCCTCTTGGAAAGAAGGATAAGGCCGTTTTCCATAGGGTACGGATGGAATATGACCCCACCCAGACCAGGAATATACGTGGGAGCTGTAGACGACTCGGTCAGGGATGGAGAGTTTTATGGGGCGGTTTCTGGCTCCCGAGCAGTCGTTGGCTGAGGAGACGCCTTCGACAAACATGAGCCAGTCAGGGTTCAATGTTAGAAGTGCTTCGCTGGCTTTTTCTGCTGCGTCGGCCCAAGAACTCCAGCTCATTGTTCCCCAGATTCCTCGGGGCTCGTTTCGGAGATCTGCGCCGATTACTAAGGGGTTAGAGATGAAGGGTTGCATGATTGTTTTCCAATGGTCGATCCAGCTCTCGGTAGTTTGCTTGATTTTGCAGATGGGGCCGTATTGGTCATTTTTCCAGCTGGAATCGCAGAGGTTCATGCCGTCGCACCAGTGGGCATTGGTGATGTGATCATTAGGGATCACGATCAAGCCAGCATCAGTCATGGATTTGACGCAGGCGTTGTATACATCCAATGCTCGTGGACCGTCGAGCTCGTCCGCGCTTCGTTTCAGGCCGTCGTTGTGACCGAGATCGTAGTCGTCGAGCAGATCCAGGTTGGCCGAGAGGAATTCAGGCGGGATCACCGGATTCTCGATCACCATCTGATCGGAATAGGGGAACCGTACAGAGTTGAACCCCATCTTCTTGATCGTTGTTGCGATCTCATCTCTATGCCGGAAGTCGAGCCCTCCTGGCACGAAGTAGATGTCGCTGGCGCCATACCAATTGATCGAAGCCAGCTTCACCCTCTCGCCATTTGCGTCGACGATTTGCCTCCCAGCCGTCCGCAGCGGTGGAGCAAAGAACGGCTTCGCGCTCGTTGTAATGTTCTTGATCTCTTTCAATGGTATCTGATGCACTTTCGCCTCTCCTGAAGGCATGAAGCGTAAGCTGTAATACAATACAATGACTGACAGCACTGTCGATGCTAACACGGTCCTCTTTCGCAGCATGACTGCAACCGGCCTGCGGGGGTGGGAATAGAAATCGAGGAGGAAGAGGAGCGAGAAGAGGGCGGGAGAATCGAAGGACATGATGACAGAGCGCAGCCTGCCGGCCCGAAAAGAATAGTACAATGAGGAACGAATGTGAGGGACAGGATCCGAAGCAGTCCGACTGGCGTTCTGAACAAGGCTGACAGAGACAGCCTGCGCCAAGATCGTGGTGCGCATAGAGGATCTGCGGGCTGAAGAAAGAAGCACACGATCACTTACTCGATTGGCGCCCACGTGCCGGGCTTGCAGTGTTACTGGACATGGTCGTTCTCTGCTGAAAGTATCAATCATTGCACGCTACTCCACCCACGTCCCCAACGACGAAGTCGGGCAGACGACCGCGAGGACAGAAAACCGATGCGAGAGATCGTAAGCGGCGGCTGTGGGAGCGATCGTTGTGAAGCCTGAGCTCTACTCAGCCTTGGACATACCTCCAACGGCAGCTCGCAGACCCGACGTCCGAAGTCAGCTCCCTTTTGCTTTCCCGCACGCCCACACAGTGCGGACGCCCTCCGGATTCGTCTTCACACGATGACCTTGGGGGTGAAGAGATCTGTTCCAGCACTGTCTCGACAGGTCTTGGAACAGTATCGAAAATCGAGGAGGAGAGAAAGAGCAAGATGCATAGGCCTTTGGTAGAATGTTAGGAGCGGAAAAGAGGAGCGATAATTGGATGAGCCTGAGACCGCTGCTCGGCAGCGCAGGGATCGGATCGAAGGCAGTGTGTGTTCCTGAATCCTGCCTGAGGTGGCCATGGTTCCATCATTGCCGCCTCACGCCGTCGCACAGATCGACGCCATTGTCCATTGCGAGGCAGATCAAGGATATTGATTATCGAAGTAGAAGATAGTACAATGTTCCAGAAAAGCTCCATGGTGTCTTCCACGTTTGCTAAGTCACGTGCAATCGCGCTTGACCGCGTTGCAGGCGCGTTTCGTGACGCGTCTATCTTCGCCATGACTTCAACTTCATGATGACTTAGTTAGATCTTACCCATGAACGTCGGCATCATGAAGCCCTTCAAGCCGCCGACCATCTACAACCGGCCACAGACCACGACAAATGCGTCTCAGCACTTCAGCCAATCGCCTCCAGCCAAGAGACGGCGCATCAGCGAAGATGAAGAGGAGCGAGCCCAGACGACCATCGCTGCAGCGAAAGTGCTCAAGAAACCCGAGCCTTCTCAGAAGTTTCAGTCGCCTTCTTTTCGCAGTCCTCTAGTCCCAGTTCCAAATGGGTCTTCTCAGCCAAATTCCAGCTCGGAGCCAGTGCAGGAGCAGTTCTTCGTCGTGGTGTGGCGAAAGTTCACCATGAAGAAGAACAAAACCTGGGATGGTGACGGCGTGCTATCGGTCAAAGGCACCCAGGCTAGGTTACAGAACATTGATGGCAAAGACTTCGGCCGGGGCACCTGTAAAGGCCCGCTCATGGTAGGATCGGAATTGTCCATCGGTGGCAAAGACGTGGAGGTTGAATCCATGATTTCCAGAGATGATTACATTTCCGGCCGCGTCTTTCTGGGCAACGCAAAGGGTACTAAGAGTGCACCAACGCCTTCACTGAAGGAGATCGATGGCACCAGTCGCGTCTCGGCAAAAGAACAGGCGAAGTTTAAGAAGCTCGCCCTCACGCAGAAGAAGACTTCGCTCAAGCCTCCACCCAACAGTACGGCAAGCAGAGCAGCTTTCAAGGCACCGCTCATTCAGAACCATGTCCTGGCTCCAGTCAAGAACGCAAAAGTCCCGACTCCTCGCCACGCCATTGACTCAGATTCGCTGGTAATGCAACGACCAAGTAAAGTCCCAAAGGGCAAGCAGATCGTTGATGTTGTGGTGGACCCGATCCTGACACGCCATCTGCGTCCACACCAGCGTCAAGGCGTCCAGTTCATGTATGAATGCGTCATGGGTATGAAGGACTACGACGGGGAAGGCGCAATTCTTGCAGATGAGATGGGTCTCGGCAAGACGCTTCAGACGATTGCATTGCTGTGGACGCTGCTAAAGCAGAACCCGATTTTCGAGGAACCTCCTGTCATCAAGAAGGCATTGATAGTGTGTCCAGTCACGCTGGTGAATAACTGGAGGAAAGAGTTCCGGAAATGGCTCGGAAACGACCGTGTTGGCGTATACATGGTAGAGAACAACAAGATGAGACTCACAGATTTCACTAGAGGCAGGGCATACCAAGTGATGATCATCGGCTACGAGAAACTCACGAAAGTCCAGAAGGAGCTCCAAGGAGCCTCGGGCATCGACATTGTCATTTGCGACGAGGGCCATCGACTCAAGTCAAGCACAAACAAAGCAGCATCTGCGATCAAGACTCTCAGCACTGAGCGTCGCGTGATTCTGAGTGGGACCCCAGTGCAGAATGACTTGGCCGAGTTTCACACGATGGTCGACTTCGTCAATCCTAACATCTTGAGCAAATACACGACCTTCAAGCGGGAATTCGAAAATCCTATCGTCAAATCACGGCAACCAGGAGCAGCGAAGAATGATCTAGAGAAAGGCGAGGCCCGAAGTGCCGAGCTGGCCGGGATCACTGGGAAGTTCATCTTGCGTCGTACGGCTGAAATTCTGTCCAAGTACCTGCCACCCAAGACAGAGTACGTGATCTTCTGCAAGCCGACCGAAACCCAGCGTAAGATCTATCGCCATATCATTGGCACCCAGGCTGTCGCGTCCGCGCTGCGTGCAGGTGCCGGTGGCTTGGAAGGAATCACAGCTCTGAAGAAACTCTGTAACAGTCCGACGCTCTTGCAGCAGAGGACCAAGTCGGGCGAGATCAAGCGCAACGACCTTGTAGAGGGTGTACCTCCTCAACTGTTGACCACTCCAGGCACAAGTGCAAAGCTCTTAGTGCTCGACGAGCTATTGGTCAAAATCAGAAACGAGTCGGATGACAAAGTTGTTCTGGTCAGTCACTACACAGAGACCATGGACATGTTGGCTACATTGGTCACATCCCTTGGTATGGGGTATGTTCGCCTGGATGGCAGTGTAGCTCAATCGAAGCGCCAGGATCTGATCGACCGATTCAACAACACTCCACCGAGCAAAGTCTACATATTTCTACTGTCGGCGAAGTCCGGTGGTACTGGTCTGAACCTCGTCGGCGCCTCGCGGTTGATCATGTACGACTCTGACTGGAATCCGGCACACGATTTGCAAGCCATGGCTCGCATTCACCGCGATGGACAGAAGAAGCCGTGTTATATTTATCGCTTCGTAACTCAGGGTGTCATGGACGAGAAGATCTTTCAGCGCCAAATCACCAAGACAGGTCTCGCAGACAGTATTGTGGACGGGAAAGACGCCGCTAGCAACTTCACACAAAATGACCTGCGCGACCTGTTCTCTTTCGACGAAGAGGATGATTGCCAAACGCATCGCTTGCTCGGTTGTCAATGCGAACAGAATGGTCTGCCGTTCTCAGAAGCTGTCGAGGACGAAGTTGCAGAGCAAGTCGGCAGGAATGATCTTGCTAAGTTGAGTGGTGGCGAGATCGAGGTGCTACATCTGGAGGACAGTGACCAAGAGGAAGTCTACGTGCCAAAGAAATGCACTACGACTTTGGGAAATGTTGATCGGGATGCTCAGGAGGCCGAGATTCTGCGCAATGCTCGAGAAAGTCGCGACTCTGAAGGCAAGGCGAAGATGCTGAGTCTCATGCAGTACACTCACCTCGACACATCTTTGACGAGAGGAGAGGAGCCAGCGCGCCGCAAGGGCTGGGATGAAGATGACGAGGATACCAGCAACGAGGGTGATACCTCCACGATGAGTATCCTTGATGCAGCGATCGATGACGCCGCTTTGCGAAATGTCATTCGTGATGTCGGGCAGAGAATAGGCTACGTGATGACGAAAATGGGTACCTCGCGGAACGAGGAGGGAGCAGCAGAAGAAACAAAGGGATAGACATAGATCATCACGGCTTCATGTGTGACGACAGAAATGGCTGTGTATACTGACGATGAATGGCTGGCTGAAAATTTGTATCTCAATGTAGACATAGATTATGATCAGAGATGAATTGCACAATTGCCTCTAACTACACCTACTGTTGGCCACGGTTTGTGAGCCATTCGCTCGAAAACAAAAACAGCTCAATCGGCCTGCACGAATCAAGAGTCTCAGAGTGCAGACTAGCACACATTCTATGTTTATATTTCGATCTTGTTCAAGATGATGGCCTAAGCAAGCAAAGCATTCCCAAATTTCGTCAACTGCGACCCATCCGTCGCCCAAGTCGTAAGCAATCGCACTACAACCCAATCCTCGCCTCTAGTCTCCCACAAATAGAACGAAAAATCCTTGCGCAGTTTCTCCACCAATGGCCTCGGCAGGATTGCAAAAACTTGGTTGGTCTCTGTCTCTGCCAGCAGAGTATAGCCAGCATCAGTAATAGATTTGGACAATTTATTCGCAGCCACATTGGCCTGTCGGGCCAATTGAAAATATAAGTCTTCACGAAACAGCTCCGCGAATTGAGCGCCCATGATTCTGCCCTTCGCTAGGAGTGACCCATGTTGTTTGACATAAAACTCGAAATCTCGAGCTAGCGCTTTATCTTTGACCACGATGGCTTCGCCGAGAAGTGCTCCGTTCTTTGTGCCTCCGATCCAGAAAATATCGGTCAATTCCAGGACGTCGTTCCAGCTCATGTCATTCTTGTCGCTGGCTAGTGCGGTTCCGATACGAGCTCCATCAACGAAGAGAAGTAAGTCGTGTTGCTCGCATAATTGTTTGATGGCTTTAAATTCGTCCTTTGTGTAGATTGTTCCAATTTCTGTTGCGTTGGAAATGTATACCAATCGAGGCTTGGCCATGTGAGGATAATGCCAATTTTCAGCCAATGCTTTCTTGATGAGAGCTGGAGTGAGTTTGCCTGCTTCTGGGATGACATTGATGATTTTGTGACCGGCGGATTCTACAGCTCCTGTTTCGCGTGTGACAATGTGGCCAGTCGAAGGCGCGATGACACTTTCGTGTGGTCGAAGACAAGCTGCGATGGAGATGGCGTTGGCACTTGTCCCAGAAGGTACGAAAAAGACCCCCACATCGTCGTTTCTCAGATGTCTTCTGATATGTGTTCTTGCCTCTGCGCTGTACTCATCGTTGCCATATCCGCTCTGCTGGGCATCATTGCTGGCAATTAATGCATTTAGAAGTTGTGGATGTGCGCCTTCGCTGTAATCGTCAAGGAAACTGTACTTGATCACTTGAGGCTCGATGATTTCAGGCATCTTGAACGTCGCACTCTTTTTGTGATGGCGGTTGAAATTTGTGAAGCTGATTCGTGTTACTCAGACATCTATGACTTCTAAGCCGAGTATACGCGTTGGGTTCTATGGCGGCCGGTCCGGGACTATCGGAGCTCCACGAAAATATGTGTCAGGTGTGCGGAAGCGTCCACGGATCCGACACGGCATGCTGTAATGGTGCTCGAGACTCCTGGCATTGGATGAGATCTGCTATCGGTGTGTCAATGATGGAATACCATGCTGGCGCTTGCCAATTGTGCACTTTCATCAAGCCAGGAACTTCATGTCCGAAGCTAGGGGACACTGCGCTCCTGTGCGGTTGGATTGCATGGCGAGAAAATGTCTGCAATGAAGTCACTCGTATATGGGGCCAGATGTCCAGGGGAATAATTGGTTTTATGAAGCTCGATGGCTCGTTGTCGAGCTTCTGGTTCAAGTTGACCATGGTCCTGCTGGCATCTCCTCAACGTGGCGGCCGGTACTACATCAAGCTGCCATCTGAAGTTCCGAATGCGGTGATTCACCTACAGAGTCTTGCCAGCAACTGGGACGCACCGCTCGTGTGCACGCGGCAACCTCGAGAGCCTTAGCATTGTCAAGTCGGATCTTTATCGGCTGAGACGATAACCCAGTGATCGCCGTCGCACGCGACATAACACATCTGGATTTCGCTCTGCCATAGTAAGTCAGCGGGTTGTGACCCCTTTCGTCGCGGTTCGAGCGTGCATTTTGTTAGTGAGGCTTCGTTGCGCAGTTGAGACAGACGAAAATGGATCGAGTGTGAATAGCACTGGCCGCTCACTTGTTCAATTTGGCTATCAAATTTGCTTGGAAATTGACGGCGCAGACTTCGACCCTGCCAATTCATACTCGAGGAAATTACGAACCTGCGCAGAAAGGAAAGCAGGTAGACATCATGCAAGACCAATATGTAGCTTCCTGCATTTTAACAACGTATCGAAGAAGCTGCAAGGCCTTGCAACTGAGCACGACCGCGTAGGAAGTTCACGTCTCCACATATGCCAAGAATTCTGAAGATCTGGCACCACACGATTCATGGCTCTTCCGCGGCCAGAGCGGTAGCGCAGCCAGCGTGGTCGTAAGAGTCCTGGACACGGAATCGAAGAAGACGGTTCTCAACGTCGTATAGATACTCCCTTCTGAGCGTATGGATGATCAGAAGGGGCCTCCTGCACCTGTTCGGACCAGCGGAAAATGAACGTAGTCTTCATATACAGCTAAAATTTACTCCTTCACATCTCAGGCGTTGTAGCAAAGTGGTTACTGCGATTGACTCGAAAGGGCTGTTCCTACAGTCGTATTCGATATCAATTCCCTTCGGGGGCGTAGGTTGTACGTTCAATTCTCAGAATTGTAGTTCAGGATAATGGATGCTAACTGTCATCCAGCGAATCCTGCCAACGTCGTGATACGTTTCTTTTTTTTGCCTTTTGCGTGAGGTTGACGGACCGAGTGGTATCCGCTCAAGCTTGCGATCTTGCGACACCACAATCGTTCTCCTTTGAGGGCTCATGTTCTGGAGACTGTAGGGCTTTGTCTTTTTTTGGTACCAGAAGGTAGCCGTTGAATGTTCGCCGTCAAATGCTGTGCCTGAGCTGCGCCTCTTCCTCTGTCTCCTGGAGCCATGCGGATCATCAACGATCTCAGGGCTCTGCCGTATACTGTAGTGGATGAAACACGCTGCATTGAATGGCGATCCTTTGAGAGTCAGAACAGTTCCTGTTCCGTTTTCGTATTGTTACTGAGTGGGCGCAACCCGCGCGTGCTGTCGCATAGCAGAGTAGCAGTAAATTTTCGGAGCTATGTGCTGTGATCTCACGTACCAGCGAGAATTCATCACGCGCATCTGTTAGAATGTCTATCAGCTCTCAATTGTGTCTGGTTTGAGCATCGCCGAAGGATTGCTCTTCCGGAATGTGCTTGGCAAAGAGCGATCTTCTGCCTCAAGTGGCATTCTGTGATGTACGCCCAGCTTACTGCATGAGGCTGTGCTTTGTTTGTTGCACCAATTGACATTCGATCTCGCCTACTTTGCTTCAGAGTGCTTGACCCAGATATAGTAACATAGGGCGTAACGCTGCCTGTACTCCGTTGCCAGCGCTCTCAACTTTCCTTAACTACCTAAACAGGCTCATTGCTCAGAACCGGAACAGACACCAATTATCGAATTGAGCAGGCATCATGGCGGACACTCGCTGGCGTGGTTGGTCCTCGGGCATACGATGGGTGTTGGTGGCGATTTTCCTGATGTCTCTCGTAACATGGGCAATCGGCTGTGCATTCACAGCACGTTTTGCAAATGCTCCGATCGGGGATTCACCATACTACAGCAGGATCTCGACAGCGTAAGGAGATTGTCGAGGTTTCATTGAATATTCTCAGCTGACCAATACGCAGCGAACTTTACTTTTACGCTGCCGGCTTTCCCATGGCGACTATGCTCGCTGCGGTGATCGATTTTGTCTTGCACATGCGCGGTTGGCTGAGCCCGGTTGTTTCGATCATTTGGTCTCTAATCGCCTTCGGAGTCTGGATATGGGTTCTTCTGATGTGGGGTGTCACGGAGTGGAGTCCCGATACTGGAGGTATCCTGGATCTCTACATGTACGACTACGCCGTCAATGGGATCGATGTGTATGGGGATGGCCTGTTCTACAGCCGAGTCTCGACCGGAAGTGTGGCAGCATTATTGACGCTTGTGCAGCTGAGCTTTGCTGCTAGAGCTGTGGACTTGGAGAGGAAGGAAAGAAAAGCCAGGGTTGGCAAGCTTGAAGGTGCATGAGATGAGCATGTCAGCACAGAGGACTGAGAGCATGGATGTGGTAATGTTAATGAAGTGATGAGCGATGAGAGAGCAAAGACTGCTAAACGCAGCACGTAATGTCTAGTACGAAGGAAGCATGCACAATGTAGAGCAGCATGGCGTCTCGTCCACTGCTTGGAACGATACTGTCTTCCATTTCTTAATTTTCATTCGGAGACTCGTGTTCAAGGTCACCAATGCCGGCAAGGTGATGTATAGGCCGTAGAAGGCGCCTAGCTTGAGCATTGGGGCTTCATCGGCGTTCTCCTTGGTCGATTCAGCTGAAAGTCCTTGTGATAAGTTGGTCATGTTGTTGTAGGAAATGCGAAGCGCCCCAGAGACTGGCGAGAACACGCCAATCCCGAAGTGTCCTAGCGCGTCTGTAACCACTTTCACACGCGACGCGTTCGTGTTTCTCGCATCCCACTTCTCCAATCTCCCTTCACGACATCTCAACGCGCCCAACTCTGACTACACGATCTGATACCCACACCGAAACCAGTACAACAGCGCATTCTGGTCCTCACGCAGCCTAGTCACCGCCGCCATGGATGGCCTCCAGCTTCGCGATGAAGCGGTCAGGGATCGCATTCGACAGGCGCAGGACTTTCTTGATCCCCGTAAGACGAGTCGTCGCAGCGAGCAGGCACTGGCTGACTGTCTACAGAGGATCCGAGAGCGCGAAGCTACCAGGCAGAGATTCTATTGATGCTCAATCGAGGCCTAAGACGCCTGACAGTCAGCATTGACGAGATCCGGCAGCACAGCAGAGAGATGGCAGATGGCCTCCTCAACCAACCCTTCGACTGGTCGCAAGCCTTCGATCGCGCGCTTTTCGACATTGTGCAGACACTGCGCAGCCGAGCAACACAGCAGGTGGACGAGGAGGCAATGTATTACTGCGCGTACGTTGGCAGCTTCGGCGAATATGCCTGTAACCCGCGAACGCTTTCCTCGCAATACCTGAATCACATGGTGTCATTGGAGGGCATTGTCACAAAATGCTCACTCGTGCGGCCAAAAGTGATCAAGAGTGTGCACTGGAACGAGAGAAAGTCGACTTTCCACTTCCGCGAATACCGAGACCAGACGATGACTGCCAACGGAGCAGCAAGCACAAGCGTCTACCCCACAGAAGATGGTGAAGGCAACCCACTTGTCACAGAATATGGATATTGCACATACAGAGATCATCAGACGATCTCAATACAAGAGATGCCAGAGCGGGCACCTGCTGGTCAGCTGCCGCGCGGCGTGGATGTAATCATGGACGATGATATGGTTGACCGGGTGAAGCCCGGTGACAGAATACAACTGGTTGGTATCTACCGGTCTTTGGGTAACCGCAATGCCGGACAGGGCAGCTCAACTTTCAAGACATTGATCCTGGCCAATAATGTGATTCTGCTTTCATCAAAGTCAGGAGGTGGTATCGCACAGCAAACAATCACAGACGGCGACATCAGAAATATCAACAAGATCTCGAAGGGTCGAAAGGTGTTCGACTTGCTTTCGCAATCACTGGCGCCGAGTATCTACGGACACGATTACATCAAGAAGGCGATATTGCTTATGCTGCTTGGTGGTATGGAGAAGAACTTGGACAATGGCACACATCTTCGTGGTGACATCAACATCCTCATGGTTGGTGATCCATCCACTGCGAAATCTCAATTGCTCCGATTTGTGCTCAACACTGCTCCTCTGGCCATTGCCACAACCGGTCGCGGATCGTCTGGTGTCGGTTTGACCGCAGCTGTAACTTCAGACAAGGAGACCGGAGAAAGGCGACTGGAGGCTGGTGCCATGGTTCTCGGTGATCGTGGTGTGGTATGCATTGACGAGTTCGACAAGATGTCTGATGTCGATCGCGTTGCCATTCACGAAGTCATGGAGCAACAGACAGTCACCATCGCAAAGGCTGGCATCCATACTTCTCTCAACGCTCGCTGCTCCGTCATTGCAGCAGCCAACCCGATCTACGGGCAATACGACACTCACAAGGATCCTCACAAGAACATTGCCCTGCCCGATTCCTTGCTCTCGCGTTTCGATTTGCTATTTGTGGTCACGGATGATATTGAGGACGTACGTGATCGTCAAGTATCGGAGCATGTCCTGCGCATGCATCGATACCGCCAGCCAGGTACAGAGGAGGGAGCACCAGTCCGTGAACAGCAGAACCAAACACTTGGCGTAGGCCTCGAAGAGGAAGGTGATACGAGCAACAAGACTACTCAGCCTTACGAGAAATTCGACGCCATGGTGCACAGTGGAGTAACAATCACCCGAGGCCGTGGCGCGAACCAACGACGAGAGGTTCTGAGCATTCCCTTCATCAAGAAATACATTCAGTACGCGAAACAGCGTATCAAGCCGATCTTGACAAAGGGTGCCGCGGACCATATTGTTGCTGCGTACAGCGCACTACGAAACGACGAAATGGAGGGCAATCAACGCAAGACTTCTCCAATGACTGCCCGTACTCTGGAAACACTGATCCGTCTAGCCACTGCGCACGCAAAGTCACGTCTATCGAACAGAGTGGACGAGAAGGACGCAGAAGTTGCGGAGGGAATCCTGAGATTCGCGCTGTTCAAAGAAGTCGTGGAGGACGAGCGCAAGCGACGGAAGCGTGCCAGACGATCACCAGATCCAGATGCGATGTCGACAGATGACTCTGATAGCAGCAATGATGACGATACCAACCTCAGGCCCAGAGCGAGCAGATCAACGCGGACGCCTGGACGGAGCACTCGGGGTACTAACGGCACGAATGGTACGAATGGTCACGCACCAACCAACGGGGGTGCTGAGGAAGAAGAGGAAGAAGAGGATCTGTACAATTCGACGCCGGCCCGAACAGGACGTACGACACAGACAAATGGTGCCACTGGCTCACAAGCAAGCATGGCTTCCTCGTTGCCAGCTTCGCAACTTCTGCAAGACGAATCCCAGCCCACACAAGAGGAGGAAGAGGAAGAGGAAGAGGAAGAAGCAGCAGGAGAGCCAATTACTGCTCAACGACTGCAGGCTTTCCAGACTGCTCTCGGTCAACTTATCGATGGGCCACTGTTTGCAAATGATGCTGCAGATGTCGAGCCATTGGTCGCAGCAGTCAATGCGCGATTGAGGAGTGGCGAGACGCGCTTCGAGGATGATGAAGCGCTCAAGGCGCTCGAGGAGCTGAATGAGCGCAACAAGATCATGTTGAGCGGTGGTATCGTGTACAAGATCTGATGATGCTCGACGAGGAGATTTTGTTCGTGTATTGAAATTACGGCGCACAGTGCACTGACTGGCGAAACGCATGAGCTTTGGCGCTGGAGCTTGACGAGTACTATGAATGCGATGCTTTTCCTGATCTTCCATGCTATCTCTATTGAGAGAGAATCCTTGTATCCATGCAACCGAGTCTCTGGTACTTCAGATGGAAAATGATGGTATTTTCCCTGCACAATCTCCTCGTCAGCTGCATTGCATTTCCCAGGTTGTCGGACAACACCAACACAACACGTTCTGGCCCTTCACGTTGACACGTCTCAATTCCCGACTAGCAGCAGAAGCCCAGAAGCAGCCACACCTTCTTGTTGACTCATCGATCATCAATCATCAGTATGGCACGATGGGTATATCGGCCCTTTGACACAAACCCTCTCGGCATCTTTTGCACTTTTTTCGATGCTGAGAAATCACCACAGAACAACGATACGCTGTATCGAGGCAGAGCAGACGGGAGCAAAAGATGTGCGTGCCTCTGAATCGCTCATATCATTCGCTGTTCGAAAGTCCAGCACCGGACTAAAAAGGAAATCCAAGACCATCCCGTTCTGCACGAACTGCATGGCGCTTTATTGAAATTTAAAGCGACATGCCGTCGGTTTCTCTGTTGTAGATCCTCGCAGATCAAGATCAGCAACTTGAACTGTAAAATTAATGACATCGCTTTTTTTTTTTTTTGGTGCTTGGTGCGAAAGAAGTCGGTAACTTCCAAATTCGGTCATCGCACAGTTTCGTAGACTAAACTTATTTTTTTTCCTTCACTTCTCGCTTTCTCTTTTCGTAGGATCTGCAGGAGCCGGATTCTCCGTGCCGTGGCTTTTTCTTCATGCTGTTCTCATTTCGATTCATACTTTCTCCTTTGCAGTTCTTGGCGATTGTTGAGAGCTTTTGTGGCTGGCTGCCCTGATGCAGGGAACGAGCACGTTTACAATGCGAATGCGCAGTGGCTTGTCGCATCCGCTCGTGCATGTCTGGTTTGTCCGAGCCGTCTCTCGATGGTAATACAATTGTGTAACTTACTAGAAGCTTGTCGTGCAGTATGAAGCTACAACGAACGTTTCGTATTATTTTCGGAAGGCATTTGTACGACTGATAGAGTCATGTCAGTCGGCACTGTTAAGCGCCAATGCAGGACGGTTGCCGCGCCCAATGCAAGGTCCGTCTTTGATTAGTCGCGGATTTGAGAGAAAAGCGAGCAGATCTACATGAAATGAAGCTTGGCTTACACATCAATGGCGTGATGTAATCACACTTGCGCTGTTGGGAGAAGTGTGTTGTCAAGCCAAGAGTAGCAAAGGAATTGAAGGTTTGTGGATGCTGATGCCAAAACCTCCCCGTCTTGGCTGTGAGATTCTCCTTTCTCCACGGGTTCTTGCTCACCGACAACCATGCTGCGCTGATGATCAAGCGGACAGACAGCACATTCGAATCTTGTTGATCCCACCAAGCCCAAGTAGTCGTGGCGGCGACTTGCGCAGGAGATCCCGACTGTAGAGATCGTCGAAGCTGAGGACTGACATTGATGTGCACACTTCATCTTCTTGGCGCATGTAGGTCGACCAGATTTTCAAGGTATTCGATGTTGTCTGTTTCATGTTCAGAAAATTGCCAGCTTAGAACATGGTCAACACGCGGCAGTGAGGGGAGCCATGCGTCCATGCGTGGTCCACGTGTATCTCAATACGCCAAGACAAGTACCGTAAGCATGTGAAACCAGCCACGAATACTAGGAAGAGCTTTCTGGACAAGCTTGATCTCCGCGTAGTGAGTTAGGGCAAAGATTAGCATGTAAGTGAGACAACAACCAAGCGAGAGGGGGATTCTAGGCTGTCGTATAGGCGCACGCTGGTTCCGAGGACGGCTGTGAACCGTACTGCTGGGAATGTGATAAATTTCGCATACAGTGACGAGCCGTCGAGCCCAGTGAGAGAGAGGGAATCCAGGTTCCAGCCCTACGCACCAGCTACAGCTCCTTCTCTGGTTGGTGAGGTCCACCTGCCATTGTCGCCTCGATCAAGTCGTACCCGATGTCGTATTGCAGGCCATCGGGGCTAACAATATTTTCTATGTCAACTGTTGTGCCATCAGATTTTGTTGTACGCGTACAGCATTCCCGTGATCCTGACTTACACCATTCTTGGGTGGCCTCCGGATGCGGTCCAACCTGGCAGAATCTGTCAGAACACGCGAGGTTCCTCTAACAGGAGTCCATCGTGTCGATCGTGTTACTCACCAGGCCAACCCAACCTTTGCCATGTCTATTGACGGAAGCAGCAACACCGCCACTCTTCGAATACCGTCCAAGGATGAAGGCGTCAGCAGAGGGACGAAAACCCTGAATCACAGCACCTTCCTGGAAATAGATCCATCTGTCTTTTGTGGTCTGGCCAGCGTTTGGACCGGCCGACCATTTCCAATCAACTTGGATGATGGTGTCATCGTCGTTCTTTACTTGTGCGGTCTTCTGCTCGCACTCTGAATCTGTATCAGCGTGCTTGGGCAACAGACCAAACCCAGGCGTGTGCCCTGCCAAATAGGCTCCGAGGCAAAACCCAAGGTATCGGCCACCATTCGACACGAATTCGCGAATCGGTGCCCGATATTTCCGCACTTCTACAAAAGCATCGTCCAGGTCTGCGGTGGCGTCAAATCATCAGCGTCGTTCCCGCTAGCCACTGAGCATATTCTCGTGATGCCGAGAAAAGATTATTAATCATACCATCGCCCCCTGGCTGTGCGTACAAGTCGACCGCTCGTAAAGCCTCAGCAGAGATGTCGACTGCTTCGTTAGGGCCGGCGTACTGCACTTCAAAATGTCTTGGCGAGGATTCGAGCAGCTGTGCGACTGCTTCTGGTAGGCCTTCACTCGTCGCGGGACCGCGATATACGAGGGCTCGTGGTCGACTCATTGTTGAACTATTGTTTCATGAGGCTTGGTCGTTGGAAAAGGTCGTTCTACAGCAGAGCATCCAGGTACCATGCCACTCGTGAGCCCCAGTCCGTTCCTGTGGCTTGCCACGTGTACCTAGTGTCACCTGCGTACCGGAGTATTGGCTTGCCGACGGAAAGTTTCAAAGCTACCCTCTGAGTAGGAGGTATTTGCGTTCTGATGCTGGTGAGAAGTGTACATCAACAGAATGATGCAACGACTGCAGTCCGCGGCATGTGACAATTGTATTGGACAGCGTGAAAGGTCAAGAAAGGGCACCACCAGCTCGGCATCGATGTGTTGACACGGGACTAGTTGCGCAACCAAGTATGCTTACAATAATTCGGATCGAGCTTTATTCTCAGCCGCCCGTATGCGCCGTCTGCAAACTTGCATAAGGGTGCATGAAATGCTGCCGAACCCGGATCTCGGCATTGTTGCCGATCGCGTCCCGATTCGTTGTTTTTTGGAGAGTCAGGGGACGAGAACAGCTAGACACAGACGGCACTAAGACTCACAGAGTTGGATCCAGTCGATGGGAAGAGACAAGACGGCTAGGGATCTTCCCAAAATGTCAGTCGATGCGACCGCGGACATAACGTCACGGATCCCTCCAGTCCTCTTGTTCGAACGCGGTTGAGCGACCAGGCATGCATATGCGCTGAGTGAGCTTGCATGCAGCCCACGGCTTTTGCGTCCTTTGCGAGAATGGGAGGATCTGGAAGTCCCGAGACAGTTTCCGAGGTCATCATGGCCAGCAGTTCGAGGTACGAATCGCGTGAAGCGAGATGTCTCACCCTCATCTGACAAGTGCCTATTCGGCCGGTGCTGCACCACGCCCTCGAGGTTGCATCACGACGTGAAACGCGAGGACTATGCCAAAGCCAGCCCAATCGCTTGAGGCTACGCTTCTCCGTCATGCGTAGAGTGCTTGTCTCTCCCTTGGCAGTCCGCCTAGCTGCATCGATCGTAATCTTGTCCACGTTTTTAGTCTGCGACCGCATCAGTCATTTGTTTTCAAAAATATGTATGCCAAGGATCATCCGGCCTAGCCAGCGCCGCACAGCATGAGCGCGATGCAGCGGCAGCAGCGCGGCTGCACGCAGTAACGGCACGTTGGCTGCTGGGTCACCATTCCGTGAGCCAAGTTCGTGGCGTGTCACATCATCTGCCAGCAGTCCAGCTCTGACCCGCTCTTGGGGAATATTCGATGCAGTGAGAATCGACCAGATGAAGTCAATCTCATAGAGAAGGCATCATAAGTAGTAGCGCCTGTTCCCCTTTTGAGCGTATATCTCACGCATCTTGCCAATGTCCTCATCCTTCACATTCGTTTCATAGAACAGCCCTACCAGATGAGTTCCACGTCTTCAGAGGGGCTGGCTCCAGGTGGGAGTTGGTCTGACGTGACTGGAGCTTCCACGCCTCGGACATTTTCTGGCGCCAGCTCGGTAACATCGTTCTTCTCGGTTGACGACAGAAGTACGTTGGGCAAAGTTGAGGGTCTTGCCATTTATCCACACGTAACACCAGCATCTCCTCGAACGCTGGTACAGGTCCTGGATGCCACCATCTCTGCGCATCCCGAAGCGCTGGCTATCGACAATGGAACTTCGAGCCTCACGTACGCTGCTCTTCGAAAGGAGATTCGAACCAAAGCAGCACAACTCAGGGAGGCCGGCGTGTCGGTCGGTGATCGGGTCGGCATCAGACTGAGCTCAGGGACGATAGAACTCTACGTTGGAATCCTGAGCGTACTTTCAGTCGGCGCTGCGTATTGCCCAGTCAATGAAGACGACCCCAAGGAACGAATAGATCTGGTCTGGACTGAAGCCGATGTTGTTGCCGTGCTGACAGACGAGGGCGTTGTTGTTCGTCGCCAGAGCAAACGATCGCCAAGCGAAGCAGGCCCTACTACCGAAGACGACGCCTGGATCATCTTCACATCAGGATCTACTGGCAAACCAAAGGGGGTAGCTGTGACGCATCGGAGTGCAGCAGCTTTCGTGGATGCGGAAGCAGATTTGTTCTTGCAACAAAAGCCACTCGGCCCGGGTGACAGAGTGCTAGCCGGCCTCTCAATCGCATTCGACGCATCCTGCGAGGAGATGTGGTTGGCTTGGAGATACGGCGCATGTCTTGTGCCTGCTCCCCGGTCTGTCGTCAAGGCTGGACCTGAGCTGGGTGCCTTCCTCATTGCACAAAGCATATCTGTGGTATCGACAGTGCCGACTTTGGTTGCAATGTGGCCTTCAAGGGCACTGGAAAACATTCGCCTACTCATTCTTGGTGGAGAAGCTCTTCCGCCCGAGCTAGCAGATCGACTTGCATGTAGCGTCAGCGGCGAGGTGTGGAACACTTATGGCCCGACAGAGGCCACTGTAGTGAGCTGTGCTGCACAAGTGAAGCCTAAGCAGCCAGTTGCAATCGGGTTGCCGCTAGTAGGCTGGAAGCTGGCTGTGATTGGACCGAATGGCCGAGCTGTTCGGTGGGGCGAAGAGGGAGAATTGGTGATCGGAGGCATCGGAATGGCGAGATATCTGGACTCTGAGAAGGACAAAGCCAAGTTCACACCGCTCGAAGAATTCTCTGGAGAACGAGCCTACCGGAGCGGTGATCTGGTGCGCGCAGAAAAGGAAGGCTTGTTCTTCGTCGGCCGCAATGACGAACAAATCAAATTTGGAGGCCGTCGTATCGAGCTCGGCGAGATTGATGCCGCACTCTTAATGTTGGAAGGTGTGAGCGCTGCAGCGTGCACCATTCAGCGTAGTGAGATGGGCTCGCAAGTCCTGGTCGGCTACGTTGTGAGGAGTCATGGAGATCCTGCAGCAGATCGCGAGAAGCTTCGGAATATGCTTCCCCCAAGCCAAGTACCAATGATTGCGACTGTGGACCACATACCGATACGGCCATCAGGAAAGGTTGATCGCAAAGCGTTGCCGTGGCCTTTGCCGACGTCTCTCATGTCCGACGACCAGCAGCTAGACGGTACCATTGGATATGTCGGCGAGCAATGGCGCCGAGTCCTCGGTGTAAAGCCTGCGCCGGATTCGAACTTCTTCGATCTGGGTGGCTCGAGTCTGGGAGCTGCTCAATTGGTGTCACAGTTGAGAGCCAAGGTACCATCACTCTCGGTGGCAGACGTGTACGAGCATTCCAGCTTGTGTGACATGGCTGCGCGTGTCGACGAGCTGTCCAGCGCACATCAGGAACAACGCGAGGTTGTGCCAACGCCTCGTTGGACCTTCGTCGTTCAATTGCCGTTGCTCTTCATCGAATTCCTGCTGGAAGGGCTTCGGCTGCTTGCCATCATGTTTTTGACCAAGAAGGCCTTCTCTGTGAGGTTGCAACCCACTTCTTGGGCCGCGCGGCACGATATACCATGGTGGCTAGTCGCTGTGGTGTGGTTTCTAATGATCAGTATGCCTGGGCGGGTTATTGTCTTCACTTCGATCGTGAGGGTTCTGACTCTTCGCATTGCCCGGGGAACATACAAGCGTGGCAGCTGGACACACATTCGTCTGTGGGCGGCTGAGCGCTTCGTCGACACCGGGCGTCTTGGTGGAGTTTCCGGAACCATCTGGGCCCGTGTCTATGCTCGGCTACTTGGCAACAAGATGGAAGGCCATGTTCAGCTGCACACGCTTCCACCAGTGACAGGCCTGGGCACTTTCGGCCGAGGGTGCGCTATCGAACCCGAAGCCGACATTGCAGGCTGGTGGCTCGACGGCGATCTGTTACACATTGGCGAAGTGAGAATCGGAGAGGGAGCTCGCGTTGGCACCCGCAGTTTGCTTATGCCAGACACAACGCTTGAGCCATATGCCACTGTCGAGCCTGGAATTTGTGCCAAGGACGTAATCAAAGGTCCTGATGCAATCTTCCCAATACACCCACAGGTTGCGAACGAGCCTTCTTTTGGGCGCAGAATCTGGACGATGGTCCGAGACACGCTGAGTCTGCTGATCCTTGACCTTCTGCCGGTGCTCACAGTTGCTCCGGTCTGGGGCATGGCTGCAGCATTGACTCCGGACTACAACAACCTCATGTCCTTGTTCGACGCGGTGCTCAAGATGATGGTGCCCGGAATAGTGCTGGGAACCTTCCTGTATGCTGTCATTACCATAACGCTTGTGCGCCTGGCCAGCCTCGCCATCAAACCCGGTCGGCATTCATGGCATAGCAGAACAGCTTGGGCTGCATGGCTAACGCGCGGGGTCATGCTGGACGCCCGATCGACTCTCTTTCCCATTTATTCGAGCCTGTTGACGCCAGCGTGGCTACGTTTGGCAGGAGCAAAGATCGGCCGCAATGTGGAGATATCGACAGTGGTCCCGATCCCCAAACTCCTGCAGGTCGCAGATGACGCGTTTCTGGCAGACGACGTTCTGGTCTCTCCATACGAACTCGGCGTGGGCTATGTCCAGCTTGGCGTCACCTCCATTGGCGAGAAGTCATTTGTTGGCAACACAGGCCTTGTCAAAGCTGGAACTAGCATTCCTGGAAAGGTGCTAATCGGCGTTCACGCTACTGCACCACCCGAAGCTCAAATGGTTCCGAACTCGACCTGGCTGGGCAGACCTCCAATATCGCTCCCACGCCAAGCAGAAGAGCCAGCAAGCTCAAAGCGAACATTCAACCCACCTCGTAGGCTGAAACTTGCAAGAGCATTGGTTGAGTCTGGACGAATTGTGCCAATGCTGATTCTCGGTGCGTTGTCGACGGCGGTTTTCCTTGGCATGCTCTGGTTCTTGGACAGGTTTGGCGTAGGATGGGCAATTCTCGTGAGTCCAGGACTTGTCATTGGCGCCGCTCTCGCCGCTTGCACAATTACCACAGCTGCGAAGTGGCTGCTGACACCCAATGTGCATGCTGGCCAACAATCTCCTCTCTGGAGTCATTTTGTGTGGCGGAATGAGCTCGCCGACACCTTCGTTCAGTCGTTGGCTCTTCCGTATATTCGGCCTTGCTTCGGAACGCCGCTTTTGTCGCTCTGGCTTTGCACAATGGGTGCAAAGATAGGTCGTGGGGCCTGGCTCGAGAGCCACCTTCTGCCAGAGACAGAGCTCTGCGTTGTCGGGGCGGGCGCGACCGTCAATCGGCAGTGCGTGCTGCAGACGCATCTGTTTCACGATCGACTCATGCGTATGGACAAGGTGTGCTTGCAGGCCGGAGCCACGTTGGGCCCCAATGCAATCGCTCTTCTCGGGACTGACATCGCTGCTGGCGTGACTGTTGGACCCAAGTCACTCGTAATGCGTGGAGAGCACCTTCCTGCTGGGACCGACTGGCTCGGAAACCCGGTGAGACCGTGGTCGCGGACTGTGCCAAAACGGAAGGCAGGAGGCTCGATTTCAGAGACCTCCTCAGCGAGCTTGGATGAGAAGGAAAAATTAGACGTGTAATGATTGATACTGTGGTCAGTCAAAAGCGAGTTCATTTTTCAGCCTGGCGGCATGCAGGATAATATATGTATCAGTCCAAATAAGGTGTGCGCCGTTCCTTATCTACCTTCCGCACCGTCGACGATTCTCGCGCTGCAGTGTTGCGCACGAATCGACTGCTGTGCTTGCCGGCGCACGGTGCTGACGTGCAGATTGTGTTGAGAATGGAAGTTGGAAGCAGGAGATAGATAACGCACAGCCTTGTTGAGTAGCCGATGACGGGACCACATATATGTACACGTGACATCGCGTTTCGGTTCCGAAGATGTCGGCCGAAGGTGGTCGTCTTGATTCAGGTCTCTGTGGTGGCTAAGCTCATATCCAGCGACCTCCTCCTCCTCTGCAAAGAGGTTGCGCTTGGAGTAGACCCCAATGCACAGTCTTGACATCGGTCCAGCCTAAGGATGCCCATGGTCGCAAATAGTAGATAAACCGCCGCAGATCATGAGTAAATACCATACTAGGCCGAGGAGCGATAAATCTACATATGAGACAGGGTTGGTTCCGCCTACAAGCTCACGCGGGACCGCTGGTGTGGATGAGCTTCCTCAGTGTCGCTGTCAGCATCCCGGCTGCCGACCTCCGACCAGCTGTCTGGCGTTGCTATCCCGTCTCCCTCCTCCGACATCATGTCAACATCACTATCGTGCGCAAGATCAATGACTTCAATACCAGAGATCTCGCTGTCAGCCCGCGACTCTGCGCGAGACATTGTGCGTGATGGCGGTGCAGATACTGATGCGAATGTCTCGGTGTCAGATTCCGTCTGGAAGCCGAAGGAAGACTGTGCTCGTGATGTCGGCGTGCGTTGACCTTCTTGAGGTGCATCCTCCGCGAGATCGACGAGCATGGTTGTGTCACGATCGAACGTAGCTGAGCTTGGTGCTGGGGATGGCTCGGCATGAGCAGAATAGAAACTGGCATCCATGACATCGGGCACAGGTTGAGATGCTGAAGAAGCAGCGGCGTCTCGTACGGGATCGAAGGGTAGCGCTGAGCCCACTGATGGGCGTGAAGTGACAATATTCTGCTGCTCGTTGTGACTCGCCAGGCGTGCTTTCGTGAGCTCGGGTGTAAGTCGGTAGAGCTCATCAGAGGCCTCTGAAGGCGCATTGTTGCCGACAGTGTGAAGCGAGCCAGCACGTCTAGATGCGGGAACGACTGGGCTGGATAGCTGTGACCAATCTTGTCGTGGTCCGGAGGTCGTGGGCGTGGAAGGCGTCAGGTCAATCAAAACTTGTGCATCAGCTGGTATGACTCTGGGCGTCACAGGCTCAACGTTGGCAATAGCGTGTGCAGCTTGATGATGGTCCATATCCCTCAGGCTTGCGGCAATGGCAGCCTTCAGATCAAAGTCTTCCTGCTCGGGCTTTCGTTGTCTTACAGTTGCAGACGTGCTCGAAGGATCCTGTTCAGACAGAGATAGCGCTATTGCGAGCTGCTCTTCGTAACTCAGTGCAGAATGATCAATGTGTTCTGTTTGCTGTGCTGTCGGTGTTGAATCGAACGCTCCAGGTACGGAGATAGGCGGCGTTGGTGCACGGGTAAGCTCTGGTTGTTGATCCAGCTCAATCTTTGGTGGGATCGGAGGCTTCGGCGTGACACTGCGTTCCAGTTCGTACTCGTCCCCAAAAGGATTGGCGTATCGTGATCCTAGCGACCAACCACTTGACCCCGTAGATACCGCTTCATCCACAGCAATTGGGTCAACAAGGTGCCGCTCCACTTGCTTCATTTCTTGCTGTATAGTCTCAGGCAGAGGATCGACGTTGGGCACTGCTGGCAACTCCTTCTCGTTCCATAGCTCCGACTGTTTGAGGTTGCCTTCGGAATCGACGAGTTCATCGAATGTTGGAGACGGTGGTGTGGCGAGGCCATCGGCGGCAGCAGCAGCTTTCCGTCTTTGCTGCAACTCGTACAGTTGCTGGTTTCGCTTTGCCAGATATTCGCGGCCCTTCCTCCTGCGCTCTTCCGCCTCGTCCGGATCCGAAGGGCCACGAACGGGTATCCTGCGGACCGTGCTGCTGGGACTCGAAAGCCGCCTTCCAGTAGCCAACGCCGCTGCCTCTTTGCTGCCTGCACTTTCCCTCGCCAGCCCAGAATCGTTGTTGACTGTCCGCCCCTCGAATGCAAATGCTTCTGCTGCTCGTCTTGCCTGAGGGTCCAACTCTTCACCGATCTGTCTTAGCAGTTCCGCTATCCTCTTTCGCTGCTCTTCGAGCCATGCTTGCACCTGTGGGCTTTGTGTGGCGGCTGCAGCGAGGCCGGCAATGATGCTGAGGGATATAATGATTCCTGGAGCGTTCACCATTGTTAGTTGCTTGTCTCAAGAGTTGTACGATTCGAAAGACAAGTTGATTGTCGATGCACGAGACCATCGGTCACCTGCGTCGTCGCGTGGGCGTATGCAAGCGTCGATCTTACCTTTCGCCACCGGAGCTGCCATATCTCAGGATCGTTTCGATTTCGAAAAGGTTCTGGAGTCCCCGAGCGGCACGTATACACCTCGACCCTCTCACCACGAGACTTACAAGAAGTGCAACTGAGGACTGGTGGCGACGGGCTGAGCAAGAAGCAAGGCAGCAGGGAGACTGCAACAGGTTCATGGTGTCAGAGCGTCGGCACAGCCCCGCAGCCGAAGGCGATCCGCGATAGCGATAAGACACCTCAGCCTTGGCAGTAAACCGAGACGGAGAATAACATGACTGCATTCTCGCCGACATGGGCAGAGGCGAAAACCGATAGCCATTGGACATGATGTCTCGGAAATCTCGAACAAAACACCACCAGAACTACCAATAAGAATTCATCATCAAGCAAGTCCTTCTGAAGGAGCTATACACTTGGCCAAAGAACCCGCAGCGCGTTTTCTCAATTCTATCACAACGCAAGCATAATTCTGCATGAGCTGTGAGCAGGATTGCAGACGGTGAGCATATCCTCGCCTTCTGTGGTCATGTGCTACAATAGCGGTGTCCCCGGCTTCTAGCACGCCTGAGCCGCGCTCAATGCGAAGCCGGGCCTGCTCGCGAGCTCAGCTGCTCGGTCTGATCGGGACCCAGGATCTGCCATGTAAGGATCCAAAAGAAAGAAGAGCCATTTGTTTACATCCTCGTTTCCGGGCCAGACCCTCAAATCGCTCTTATTTTGCAATAGTCGACGAGTGAGCGGAGTCAAGCGCTGGAGCTCCAGCTTCGCTGGCCGGCAAAGCTCCGAGTAGTGTACAGTCAGTAGTGGGGTCGATCGAAGGGCAGAGAAGTAGACGGCGGAATATATATCTTCGCTCTCTTCCTCAGCTTCGACTTATCCATTGTCAGGCATCCCCACAAGTTACGGACTTAAGGTAAGGCCTCCGGTGTCGTGTCAATGTCAGCGTGTCGAACCATGCCCTAGTGCCACTGAGGCTGATGGGTCAATGGCTGCTGCTCGAAGTCTCAGACATATAACCGCTTGCTGGGTTCCACATCTGACAATGCTCTAGATATTTTTGAATTCACGAGAACAGTTGCAAGCAAGCCAAAATGCCGACCAAGGGCTCCTGCGTGTGCGGCGAGTGGACTTATGAGTACGAAGGCGAGCCAGCTGGTGTTGTAAGTAGTCCAGTACTTTTCGTGGGGTGTCAACTGACCATAATCAGTCCATCTGCCACTGCATTCCGTGCCACAAGGTTGCTGGCAGCAATGGATCTTTCAATCTGATTATTCCAGAGGCCAACGTCAGTATCTTCCTCGCTTCTGCTTGCTAGTTGCAACAGCATCAACTCACAATTTCCCAGTTCAAAAAGACTGCTGGCAAAGACCATCTGTTCTCTAGGACTGGTGACTCCGGCAAGTCGGTCAACTACAAGAACTGCGCCAAATGTGCAACTGTCATGATCGCCGACATTGATGTCATGCCAGGAGTGGTCCTTGTAAAGGGTGGAACTGTCGACGATCCTGCTGTTGACGCGAAGAATGCTCCTCAGATGGAGATTTACCGCAAGAACGCTGCTCCGTGGTGCACAGCTTGGTCTGGAGTGGCTCAGGTCGATGGGGCACCATCGTGAGAAGAGAAGTAGAAGACATGTAGTCAAGATTGTCCATATACGGTAAAATAGACTGGGGCAGCTACCTTGATGGTCCACGAGTGGACTAAGCGACATCAGTAATCACGCTTCCAAGCAACATTACACTCGATCACGCAATCTTCTACTAGACTGCAACCTCTACAAAATGTTCATCCGAGCTTAGGTCAGAGAAATCACATCGCGCATGAGTAGAAGATACAGGCACAATCTCTCGAAGTATTTCTCTTATTTGATCTACGTCAACATGGCATTACCAAGCTCGCGAAACTATTCCAACTCGCGATATACCGTTGATCGTTTCCCATCACGCGTGACTCAACACATAAAGATCATTCTCACTGCTTCCACGATTCACAGGTCGGGCCCCGGCAACCCGGTCCTCCAGCAGGCATACCGGGAATCCGAAGCAGCGCTTTGGCCTCTGCCTCGCGCTTCTGCTTCAGAGAGACGCAATATGGACTTTTGCAACCCTTCAAGTCCAAGGCAGGCATCCCCGGAAGCCTCAAGAGAGCTTCCGCCTCTGCCTCACGCTTCTGCTTCAAAGACGCGCAAAGAGGAGAGTCACAATTCTCAGGGTTGACAAAAGGCATATCCGGGAGCTTCAATATGGGTTTTGCCTCCGCTTCACGCTTCGCCTTCAGAGCAACGCACCACGGACTCTTGCAGTTGTCCAAGAAAGGCGTACCCGGAATGTGCATGAATGACTCTGCCTCCGCTTCACGCTTCTCATTCAAAGAAGCGCATAGGAGAGGATCATTGCACTCTTGAGTGTTCACCAGAGGCATACCCGGAAGCCTCACAATTGGTTCGGCCTCCGCCTCTGCATCCCTTTTCTCTGCTGGCAGTATCCACTTTGGATTCTGAGCAGTTCCAATAATTGTATCTTGGGGAAAGTGGTCCCTGAAGTGCGATAGATCCAAATCTCTCTTAACGTCTTCTGGCCCAAATCCGTAGCGGGAAAGAGCGTCGTAGAGAGAGTTCGTGGCGTCTCTTGCACTGATCTGTGGTCCGATGCCCAAAAAGTCCCTATTGCCGCCAAATTTCTGGAGTTGATCGACATCGATGGTCAAGTAGTTATTGTCGGCAGATCTTGCATTGATCTGAGGTCCGATACCCAACCAGTCCCTGTTCCCGCTGAACCTCGGAAGCTGGTCGACATCGACAGTCAAGTACCCATTGTCGGCAGATCTCTCGTTGATTTGTGGCCCAATACCAAGCCAATTCTTGTAATCATCACTAAATCTTGGAAGCTGGTCGATACTGATGACCCTGCGCTTCTCGTTCTTCAAGCCTTGCAAGCGGTTCCTGAACAGGCCGAAGGATCCTTGCTTGCGTGGATCATCGTACTGGCCCACGAATACAGCATCTCGCTTCTCGTCTAGAACTGCCTCGTCCGCCTGGGGATGATGTCTCTGCCGTGGGAAACCAAAACGTTGGGCGGGGAGGACTGGATCTGCGACCGGCGCAGCTGAAGCTCCAATCACGACGGTGACGATGGCGCAAATAATGTTGTCTGCGATAACAAGGTCAGTAGAATGTTCGACGCATTGTCATACTCGCGCAACGTACACTTCATGTTGAAAAGAGAAAAGTAAAAAGCTTCAAAGACTAAAAAGTTGAAATCGACGAGGGAAGACCAGCTTGACCTGAAAGAAGACTTCGAACAGCACAGCCCAACGCCTTTTGTACGCAGACAACGCATCTTTCCAAAGTCCGAGAACTACCCAAGCACCCGACAAGAGTGCTTGTGATGAAGCTTGTCTCGCCGGCTGTGTTGGGCCTTGGCGAATGAAGTTGCGTTGGAAGTCGACCGAATTCGCCGAGACGATATTGTACCCACCCACCAATCTGCCCGGCGTGTCGCACAAAGGTACTACTCTTGCCCTCACCGGTGTCGGCGAAGATAATCGAAACGACGATGTTCGTACAACTATTCCGCCATGCTATTCTTGCGGCGGGACGGCGGGGGGCGCAACGTCACTCACTTGTCATTCTCTCCAGCAACTTCTCATAGGCTCCATTGTGGTGGAAGCTAGTGCATGATTCAAGGAGCATGCCCCGAAGCGCGTGGGAGTGGCGTTTCGATGATCTTGTCTGCACGTGGTTTGTTGGCAAGCGGAGCTTGCTCCCTGTCGCATCGAGTCGAGGGCCTAGTCAGTGTCAGCAGATAGGAAGAGTGCCTCGACGCAAAAGACCGAATAGAAAGAGCTGTGAGCGCTTCTAATTATCTATCTGTTGTCTATATCAGCATACAAATATAGCAGAGCTGCGCTATAATTTGCCAGCAGCCTCTTCCTTCTTGCGGTCCGCTTTCTCTTGCTCTAGTTGAAGACGCTTTCGCTCCCTCTCAAGCTGGTCAGGTCTCCTCACTGCAATGTCCTTGGGCTTAAAGTCGGAGAACAAGTTCTTGAGAATCTTCTCAAACGTCCAGCACCCCACATAGTCCAAGATCATGACCGTAACTAGCGTGATCTTGAATTCCGTTGTGAAAGGCGTGAGCTTGAGCTTCTCGTTGATCTCAGGTATGAACTCGGTGGCGCAGCTGAAAGCCACAGATGTGACAAGCACAATGCCCCAGTACATTCCCTTGTTCTCCTTGATGGATTCTCGGAATGGTCGACCTTGGTAGTTGATGGCGAACGTGGAGATCTGTTGAATGAGCTGAAGGAGGTAGATGGCAGAGTTGAGCAGCGATGGCTCGAACTCGCCCTCAAGATCGATCTCCGAGCGATCCTTGGGAGGTTCGAAGCGGTGGACAACGTCCGTGATGTAGATTAGAGTGGCGATGTGGACCGCGAACTGTGCGAGCACGGACGGGATGACATACCAGTTCCAGATGTTGTTCTGCGGTCGTTCTCGCGATAGTTGCTCGACCGGCTTGGCACGTGAGATGCTCAGGAAACAGACACTCATGAGCATACCACTAATCGTGACTTGTCCGTCGCCAAACTTGATGCCATCCAGGTAAAGCACACTCAAGCTGTAAGCGCTGATGAGACAGTTCAGTGCCAGAATCTTGTACATCTGGATGGTGGCCACCAAGGTGCACCGTCCTTGTCGAATGATGTTGGGGATCGCAATGACGTTGGCAAGCTTGCTCGTGAATGGAGCAGCGACAGACGCATCTCCAAGTTTGATGGTCGGTGGCTCATCGTCAAGCTCGCTTTCCATCATGGACATCGACAGCTTGTCTGCCATCGCGCTTGCTGCGTTTTGAGCCCTCTCCTTCTTGAGCTCTTGCTCGGTCTTCTCGACAACAGGTGCGGTGTACTTGTCAGCAGTGCTCTCGGCTTTTTCTTCTTCAGCTGCAATCTTCTGCTCGATTATCTTCTGCTTTACCAAGCCTTCGCGCTCCATGGCCTTGTCGTAGTGTGGGTTCTTCGGTCCAGGTGCATACAGGTGAGCGATATGAACAGGTACAGGTGGGTCAGGCTGATTGAAGCGTTGCATCATGCCCTTTTGCTTCTCATAGATCTCCTTCATCTTCGTTTCTCGGAAGTTCTTGGCGATCTTATCCATATCATCTTTGCTGCCGTTAAGAAGAGCAACACCGATGTGAGCCTGCTTGAGCGCGCCAACGTCGTTCGTGCCGTCTCCAGCCATGAGGGTGGTGTAGCCTTGGTCTTTGAGCCCAAGCAAGATCTCCTCTTTCTGCTTCGGCGAGACACGCGCGTAGACCCAGGTGTGGCGCAACAGTGAATGCCATTGTGCAGTGTCCCTGAACTTCGCAAGACCGTAACCGGTAACGCAGAGATCCTTGGTCTTCAGAATTTCTGGATCGATCGGCTTGCTAGGATCAACAGGAATATTGATCTTGTCATCGACGCTTCTCCAGACCAGATTCTTCCCGCTCTCATCATGCTCAGGAGCATCAAGAATGAGCGCATCGCGATCCACAATTTCAACTTGTTTCGCAACGTGGAGTGCAGTCAGAGGGTTGTCTCCGGTGATCATCACGACACGATGACTGCTCTCGTTGAGCATGCGGACAGCCTTGAGCGCATCATCCTTGAGGGGACATTGCAAAACCAGGAAACCGGCGAATGTCAGGCCACCCTCGACGTCCTCGCGCTTGATATCGTTAATTTTCTTCTGAGGGACCTCATCACCGGTCGAGAGATACTTGTACCCCAACGCGAGCACACGACCGCCATTTCTGCTGAAGTATTTGAAAGTCTCTTCGTACTTCGATGGCACCTCAACCAGCATGTTTCTGATAGTCTCAGGCGCGCCCTTCACAGCGACGAACGTGCTCTTGGTCTTCTTCCCGGTTTGGCGGTCTGATGTGATTACAGTGGCAATAGAGCTTTGGCGCTTCAATGCAGAAGAAAACTGGAACCGTCTCTTGATCTGCACGAGATCTCCTGCCATGGCACCTCGCGCATTTGTTCCAGCCTTGGCCGTAAGCGTATCGTTCTTCCCGAGCGTCCATCCAAGTGATTGCAGTGTGGCTTTCTCCATCGGCTCTCCAACAACATCGCCCTCTTCAAGTTTCACGAGTGCGTGAGCCGTAGCAAGAGTCAGTGTAGTTTCCAATCCGGTGTCTGTTATCCTAGTGAGCTGGCTCTGAGCGCCGTCTGATTCTGTCTTGACCTTCGCATCTTGGCGTCCGAGGAAAAGTCCGGCAACACCCTCAACAACCAAGTCCTCTCCAGTGAGTGTACCCGTCTTGTCGAAACATGCCACATCCACACGGCCAGCAAAAGGAATTCGGAACGGCTCTGTGCAGAAGATGGCGAGCTTGCTGAGCGCTGCCAGGGATGTGTTGACAGCGAGAGACAGCTCCATAGGTAACTCGGGCGGCACAACAGATGTGATGATAAGAACGCAGTCCAAGAGCAATTTCGATCGCTTGCGGTCTTGCTTGACACCTTCTGTCCAGACGTACCAGGATGCCACGACAGCGAAGACTGTCAAGAAGAGAATGAAAAGCAGCGCTTCCACATTACCTGCGCCAACGCGTTCAGTAGAGAAGATCATGGTGCGAACAAGTGCTCCCTGGTTGGTTTCGAATCCAGTCTTGATAACGACGGCCAAAGCGCCTTTATCGGGTGCAGGAGGAACGCCAGAAGCCACTTGCGGAATCGTGCTAGGCGCATCGGTCGCAGCATTTCCATGCTGTACCTGCAAGACTTTGGTGCCACCCCACAGGAACGCATTTTTGTCGAGTCCCTCGGGTTCGATCTTTGCATCTGCCGGTCGGAGCTGTATCGAGTCCTTGAGCACAGGCGTACTCTCGCCAGAAAGCATAGCCTCGTTGACAATGGCGCTGCCCTCAACAAGCAGCATGTCACAGGCCACTCCACTGTCCTCTTTCGTCCTACCCACAGATACGAGATCGCCAGGCAGAAGCGCATCGCTCTGCACCTCAGCCCATTTGTTCTCTCTGTACACCCAGACCGCATACGGCTTGATGCTCATGCCACGGAACTCCGTCAAAGTCCGCTGCCGCTGCCACACCACAGTGCTCTCGAAAACGACCAGCATAAACAGCGTGAAGAGACTGTAGTACCAGTATTCGTCCAGCATCCACAGACCAACACAGAAGATCTGGAACACGAAGAACGGCGCGACAGCGTGCTCTTTGAAAAGCTCCGTAAATGTCGGGACTGGGATATCAAACAGATTCTTTCCGTAGTATTGCGTCAACTTCTCAATTTCCGCGCTCTTTTGCAGTCCTTTGGAAGCCTGGAATGTACCAATCGTCGGCTTTGGCTCGTCGTCGATCGCGTAGTTGAGGGGCGCAAAACTGCCTCTAGCCTCATCGTATAGAAAGCGTCTCTTTTGGAACAAGAAGGAAACAGTTTCCCTTCCTCCAACATTGTCTCTCTCAATTTTGCAGATCTCGCTTGCGCCTGCGTTCTCCTTTGGGATCACCTTGATCAGACTGGCGTTCCTTACACTGCTCGCCGAGTTCGCGGTGAAAAGGGCGCGAATGTTGACGTTCCAAAATGTCATAAGCCATAGCAAAGACTGCACTGTGACAATGCTGCCGGCGAATACGAAAGTCCATTCCTGGCCGTTGATGTACGTATCGTAGCTCTCCTGTGGGAGGTAGTAGCTGAAGAAGAGCGGCCAGAGGAAGACGAAGGGAAGGACGTAGACGTGGAGGAGTAGCGGCCGGGCATTGTGAAGGCTGGCGGACTTGATCTCCGCCCTTTCGATCAGAGGCGGCGCCCTAATCATCATTGTCAGTGGGTTTGCGCGCTTGCCCGTGGGTGCAGAATTGCCTTACATGTTGGTGGTGTCGATGGGCGGGAGAAGGAACAAAAAGTGCCACCACGTAGCCAAAGTCGATGGCGTGCACAAGGGTTCAGCCCGCTCGGAGGTGGCGGTTGCAAACTCCGCACATGTTATGCACACGTTTCTCACTTCTGAAGGACCCACATTCACTCAATTGCAGGCGAATAAGGAAGACGGACATTGTATCATTCAAGCTTCATTGCTCGCGTATGTCTCATGCTCATGCTCTATACGTAGGTTCGTCCTCCGCTGCTATCGTCACGCAGCAATCATGGCCCAATGCGAGATGAAATGAGAACGCCCACGCCTTGCTAAGCCCAACCAATCGTCGTCCCTCATGCTACCGTATATCAAGAGACCGTAGTCCCTGCCGCACCGTCCGTAACGCCGCTGTGATACTTACCTATACAGGTGGTTTTATTTTTTTGAAGATGTATGACTTAGGCAAGATAGCCAAGATCGTCACCATCGAGACGCTCGAGATACTCTTTCTCGATCAGGATGTCAATGCACTTCTTGATGTCTGAGACCTTTGGCGAGAATCGGTTCTTGATCTGGCCGATCGTCTCCGAAACGAGCTGGCTGTGCTTCATAGTCTTTCGTGACTTCATGATTCGCACGATAGCAGACTAGCGGACATGTTAGCAACATACGAAGCATTGCAAGATCAAGAGCCAACTTACCTGCATGAGCATCTTCCTGTCCTCTTCGATCGTCTTGTGAGTATCTTCGACTTCCTGCTTCTGCTCGGACTTGATAGCAATGTTGAGGTTGACCTTAAGCTTCTTATTCTTGAAACCATAGTTGAGAGAGTAAGAAGTTCCGCTCTGAGGTGGGGCGCCTTCCGGGCTGGCAGTAAGGACCTTGGCCTTGATCATGATTGCGATTGAAGGGTCAAGCGTTTCCTTCGCCAATGAAGTGATTTCGGCAATGTCGTCGTAGGTGACTGTATCATTGTCGTTGAACATGAGCAGGATCGCCATTTGGTATGTAGATACCGAGAATGTGTAGGGTACCTTGTTCATCTTGGCGTAGTTGGCGCGGATCTCACCCTTGCACAAGTGCCACAGCCAGGAAAGCTTGCGGCCACCGTGCTTGTTGCTGTAAAAGGTTTGGAAGCGCTCGTAGGTCTTGACAATAACTTCGGGCGGAGCGAAAGGTGAGGTTGGGGGCTGGAGCGGCCATGATCCAGTACCCAAAATTTGGTATGTGGCATCAACTTCATCTTTCCTGTCCTCCTTATCAATGGTCTGAGCACGCCACTCCTCGTATGCGTTGTTGAGATCCTTGGAAGTCTGGACATCCTGGAACATGCGCTGCAACTTGTTCGTGTACTCGAAGCCAGAAGCATCCTTCAACTTGGAGATCATGCTAGTCTCAGCGTCGCCAGATGCCGATGTGCCGTTGACGAGACGCTTGGCAAGGTGACGGGAGTAGAATTTCTGGAAAACGTCCTTGTCTTCGACATACTTGAAGATTGTCATGCATTGGTCGAGCAGCTTCTCCATGTTGTCCTCCTCGGTAGCTTTGGTGCTCTTCTTGAGCACATTGTCGGAGTGCTTGGCCAACAGCTCTGGGGACTTGCTGGAGTTCTTCTCGCAGACTTTGTTGCGGTTGACATATTCTCGGCAGGCGTTGTCAAGAGACCGTACAAACTCGGACTCGCCAGCGAAAGCTTTTTGGACTAGTGCAGCATACTGAGTGTGAACTTCGAGCAGAGCATCCACATACGCCTTAGGGTCGAGGCTGTCGCCCTGTCCTGCGACCTTCTCGACAGCGAGGTGACCTGCTTGCCGCACATGCAGCTCAAATCTGTTGCGCAGTGGATCAAGACCGTCCGGAATGCGTGCAAGAAGCTTATACATGCGGGCCATGTCATCTTCGCGGTCATTGTTCAGCAGCAACTGGAACTCATCACGGAGCGTAGATGCATGCTTGGCAATGAGAGCTTGCTCGCAAGTTTTCATCAGTGGACCCATTATCTCCGGCAGGAGGTAGAGAGGGACACGCTCCTTCTCCTCGTCCAGTCTCCGCTCAGCCTTCTTCATATAGTCGACCACGGAGTTCTCAGCCAAGAACTGTTGTGACTCCTTTTCGTAGTATTTCTCCGTCGCATCGAGGTATGGCTTCTCGAAGTATGTGCGGTACACGTCGAGGGTTGTCTTGGTGCTGTCGGCCTCATCGATACCCAGAGAGACGAACGAGTTGACCACATCCTTGATCTTGGACTGTTCGATAGTTTCGCCGTTGCGCTGCTTCTCAACAAGTCGCAGCACGGCATCCATAACGGCGTTCTGCGTGGTTCCAAACATGTCTTCCTTCCATCGAACCAGATGCAGAGTGTAGATGTCGTAGACGTCTTTCTTGCCCTCGTCCATCTCACGCTTAACCCAATGTCGGTTCAGATAGCGGAAGAGGTGGTTGTTGTACATGCCCGCCTGCGTGTAGCGCTTCCATTCTTTGATGTAGTATGTGAGGAGCGCCTCGTCAGTGTGCTTGACCATTTCAGCGTGGACTGCCGCAAGATGCTGTTTGAGGTGCTCATTCAGCCGATGGTAGAGATCTTCTCCAAGCAGATGTGCGCCTCGGTGATTCGAGTTAAGATTGCTCTGGGCGCCCATGCCTACCGCCTTTTGGGCAGTGCAGAAGTTGTGGATGCTGGTGTACAGCGACATGTACGTCTTGAGATCAACGCCATCGCTGAGGTTGAAAAGTATTCGGTCGACGCCCCACTCGAGGAAGTTCCAGGTGCCGTTGATGTCGTCCTTGGAGGTCGGTATGGGTGGCGCTGGGCGCGAGCTGGCTTTGGCAGCCATGTCGGACATGGCGCGTGTGGGGAGTCGAGGTGCGCGAGCTCGAAAGGAAGGTGAAGAGGAATTGAGAGTGACAAAGCGGGAAGAAGAAGCTTGCGCGCGTGGTGGTTCAGGCGCAAATGCGGTAGCGGGAGGGTGCCTGATGCAGCCGTCCGGTGAAGAGGGTAAAGGTCAGCGGCCGAAGGCAGTCGCGGGGCCGTGCGTTGTGAACGGCGCTGTGTCGGAATGGCAGCTGTTGTAAAGAAGATGGGATGCCTGAAGAATGGTGGCGGTAATGGTTGTTGTTTAAAGGTCGAACCACACGCGCCCGTGAAGTGTCGACGAGTAGGTGGAAGGTGTGAAGCCAGACGTGACTTGTAGAAGGCGCGGGTCAAGCTCGGTGATCCAGGCAACTCTGCGTCACGCTCGTCACTCGTTCACTACTCGTTCACTCACTTGCACGCGAGCACATGAACTAACACGAAAACGGCTGGTAGCGAGTAGAGCATCATTGTTTTGTACAGCTATAGTACATCTATGCTAGTGGTACAGCGCTCGTCTTTCAGCTCGAATGTTCTCGGCCATGCATCGAGGGCTGCCGCAGACTCCCCCATAGGTTGGTAGCTTCCTACGTCTACCGAGCGTCGTGAGCAGCCTTGGGAACTAGGTTGCCGCCCTCATCCGCTGACTGCTTGGTCGGTCCACTGCCTGGCGTCTGCTGAGCCTCATTGCTCTCGCCACCCTGGGTCTTCGCGCTTGACTGCGCATCATTTGATCGAGCCAGCGATGCCTGCGCTCGATCCTCCTCGGCTTGTGCCTCTGCAACTTCATCGTCATCTAGTTCAGCACCGTATATTTCTGGGTGCTCTCGGAAGCAATTCTGCATTGTCTTGAAGTGCTCGATACACTCCACGCCCTTAGGCTCTTCTTTCGAGTAAACGAAGCAGCTGAAAGCAGCGCGGAACTGCTCGCCACATGGACCATGTGCCATTCCGCCTAGACACGGGCAGTCCCAGTTGATCTCTCCAGTCTCTTCGTTGAAAGCGCCCTGCTGTTCTGCCTCTTCTTCGAGTCCTTGCGGACCGCCTGCCGCGGCTTGCTCGCCATCAGCTGCGGTGACAGTCTGTTGCTGCTCGGTGGTCTGAGATTCGCTATGCCGGCTTTCGGATGATTGGATGTTGTGTCGTGCCTGTGCTCGTCGCTGTTCCGCTATTGAATCGATACTGAGATGTGTTTCTGACTCCCGCGAGGTTTCTGGTGCTGCGTGGGTAGCATCTGCTAAAATAGTTAGTGCCGATTTAGGTACGTCGACAAGTGCGTCACGGACATTGTGGTTCTTCGGCAAATACTGAAGAGGTGTTGTAGTAATATACCACAGCGCCAGCCGCCGTCCACCTCAACGCAGTCCCTTTCCAGCTTCCAGATCTCGTAGGGGCGGTACTTGCGAATCGTTTCCCGACATGCTGTGCTTTTGAAGCAGTGCGCGCAGTCGTTGCTGCTCTAAAAATCGGCCTGAACATCTTGCCCGTTGAATCGAAGAGAAAGAAACGACTGTGCTGATGAAGAGGCTCCAGGAAATGCTGCGGCGCAAAGCACGTCCAAAGGTCATCGACTTCGAATTGCTTAGAAATGTCGGTGGTCGGAGAAACTTTTCGGCTCTCTCTTTTATGCACAGATGCATCGCGATTGCGTCAACACCATGCTCTTTGCCATACATGCGACATCCTTACACGCGTTTGACACGCGATGGCTGCTCCCAATGGCAGCGCATCACTGTCTGACACCTCAATGACAGAACTTTGGCCTGCCCAATATCTAAGTTTGACAGAAAAAGCATGTCCAACAGTGGCACTCATCATTCTGAATTGTCCTTTGGATGACCTAGATTATTTTAAGCGCCTCTACGATCATGCTTCGTACCGCCTCTGCGCGGATGGCGGGGCTAACAGAGTCCACGATCTGCTTCGCAAGCACTACCCTAGCTCTGACTGGACCCGAGCATTGCAGCATGCTCTTCCGAGCGCGATACATGGCGATTTGGACTCCATTAGGGATGAGGTTCGACAAGAATATGAGAAGCTTAATGTTGCCATCACGCATGATCCCGACCAGTATAGTACGGACTTTGGCAAGGCGATCAACAAAGTCGTTGCCAATCTGCCAGAGGTCACGGAGATTTTAGTCCTCGGAGGTCTGGGCGGACGGGTTGATCAAGGTCTGGGATTGCTCCACGAGATCTACCGAGAACAGAAATACTTGCATCCGTCTTTGCGCTTCTGGTTGTTCTCTGAGAGCAGTGTGAGCGTTCTGCTTCGTCCTGGTATCACTACCATTCACGCGCCGCTCAACGACGGGTTGCTGCGGCAGAACGTTGGCCTCCTACCATTGTACGGCAAGGCTGTCATATCCACCAAGGGTCTAGAGTGGGATGTGCAGGATTGGGAGACAGAAATGGGAGGTCAGGTCAGCACGAGTAACCATATCAAGGCGGACAGGGTAGTGGTACACACGGACGTTGATGTGTTGTTCACTGTGGAACGAGAGACTGTGCCTTTGCGACCAAAGATCTGGCACGAGGAGACATTCTGAACGGACCACGATCTTGAACCAGTATTCGTTGAGACTACCATACGATGAGCAGCAATGGCTGCTATCGACCAGCATGGCATCACTTCCAGTGTCGGAACATGTCCGCACAGCAGAGATGTAAAAGCTCCGAGCAGCACAGGCAGTAAGATCTATTGCTGTATGCCTGATCTCACCACCTCGACCGTGGCAAGGAAGCAAATCGAGCGCAGGCAGAAGGCTCGAAAGAGAGCAATCGCATGGCTGTAGACACTTAAGGGGCCGAACCTCGCTCTTCCCTCCGAATCATACCTCTCGGTGAGCTGGATATGGACACGAGATGGACGCATTGGATTCGGAACGCGCATCAATCTGATCAGATGGAGGCACTTGACAATGTACAGCGAATAGTGGCTGGGTCTTGTGTATGTAGTCTAGGTAGCACATTCACTTGAATCAAAGTGAAGGCCGGCTGCACAGCATTGTCTTTCGATTTGAGTACCTGCAGCTTCGTGTAACTGTCGCAGACTCGAATGTCACTGATGGCGCCGCCGAACGCACGTGCCCAAGAACGCACGAGCTGGAATCCACGTTGTCGTCCGCGACGTCAGCAACGACTCTGATGTCGCGCAAGCAGTCCTCGCTGGCCGGGTGCTGGCCAATTATGGCACGTCGAGCTGTGTCTGTTTACGCTTTCCTTCGCTCCGTGCTGAGCAAGGCCACTACGTCACGAAGAGGTGCCGCAAGCAACCAAAATCCTGTCGCAAATGCAAGGCAGTCAGCAGACCGAGTCCATCACGGCGCAGCATCACCAGATACGCAGACCAGCGGCGCGCCACCGAGTCCTGTCGTTGGCAGTGGAAGAATCCTCAGACGCCTCGTGCAGAAGTTGATGCTGAGGGGCGCGAGAAGTGAGGGCGAGGGGAGCAAGAATCGATAGAAATTTAGCTCGCTCCCGCGCCGCGCCTGGCAATTGCCCGCGCAGGGTCTTGGGGCAGAGGACTTCTGCTCTGCGACTCTGCCAGTGCGACCTGCTGCGGCAACACAACCTCACGACGACGTTGCTTCGAGTGCGACGATTGCACCATTGCACAGAGGCTTTTTGACAATTCGACAACCCAGCGAGCGCGACGCCTCGACAGTGCCCGCGGCGGCTCATCAGCAGGCCGGCCACAGCCCACCTCCACCACTTTGCCCACCGCACCGATTTCCACCGGGCTCGCAGCCATGTTACTGTAGGACGACGCGAGCAGGAGCTGCACCAAAACCACCGTCACTTCGGATCTCACTGTCAGTCGAGCCGCCGTTTGCCCCCAACTACGAGCTGCTCAGCCAATCGCATCTGTAGGACGCTGACCTCGTCCATTACCGCGACAGGCCTGATCCCGCTCCCTGATATTCGACGCTCGCCGAACCACCTTCTCGCCTTCTGCACCTCCCCTTTGCAGACCGACACACCAACACACCGCACCACACCCTGCGCCACGTCCATTGCGGCACCATGGCGTGGCAGCCACAACAAGGGCCGCTCAACCAGCTGGCACAGTGCTTGCGCGACTCTCTCAGTGGCCATGACGTTCAAGCTCAAAAAAATGCCGACCAGGTGCGTGGAGTATTGCGAAAGCTTTGTACCTCGTGCTGACCTTGTCTAGATGCTGCGGCAAGCCAAAACCTCACCGGATATCAACAACTACTTAGTGTATCTCTGCACAACCCCCACCTCAAATACCGGGCTCGATCAAGCAGCATATCATGCAGCACGTAGTGCCGCCGCGATTCTGCTCAAGAACAACATCAAAACTTCATATAAATCATTACCAGAGCCGAGCAAGGCTTATATCAAAGCGAACGTGCTGCAAGGACTCCAGGACCGCAACACGCAAATTCGAAACTACATCGGAAATGTGGTCACCGAAATCGTGCGGCAAGGTGGCATCATGGGTTGGCCGCAAGTCCTGTCTGAGCTCGTCGGAATGATCGCGAATCAAAGCGGTGAAGCCTCACAGGAAACCCAAGACGGCGCCATGAGTGCACTGTTCAAGATCTGTGAAGATAACCGCAAAGCTCTCGACAAAGAATATCAAGGCCAGCGGCCTTTGGCTTCTCTCCTACCAGAGCTGCTCAAATTCACGCGACACGACAATCCCAAGGTTCGCTCTCGAGCACTGGCCGCTGTGAATGTCTTCCTAGTCGAGCCAGTTGCGGTGACCTTCCAGGAGAACATCAATGAGATCCTGCCAGAAATCGTTCGCCTGTCTCAAGATAGCAATGACGACGTGCGGCGATTCGTCTGTCGGTCCTTTGCACTTCTCGCGGATTCTCTACCTCATGTGCTCGTACCGCACGTGGAAGGCGTCATTGAGTATACCTTGACCCAACAGCAAGATCGACACAACCAGGAACTGGCTCTTGACGCTGCCGAGTTCTTTTTCGAGTCCAGCAGCAACGCAGTGCTTCGAGACGCGCTCGGGCCCTATCTTCCCCGCATTGTCCCCGTCCTTTTGAACTGTATGGTGTACAGTGAGGACGACCAACTCAGACTAGAAGGCGACGAAGAGGATGCTGAGCTCGAGGACGAAGAGAAGGACATCAAGCCGACCTTCGCCAAGGATAAGGCTGGTCGAGCCGACGCTTCGAACGGAGCACAAACTAATGGCCAGTCCCAGCCCGCCGTCAACGGCTTCGCTTACGAGGATGACGATCTCAGTGAAGGCGAAGTGGACGAGGATGAAGATTTTGACGAAATCGATCCCGAAGAGGAATGGAACTTACGCAAATGCTCGGCGGCTTCTCTCGATAGCCTTGCGACACATTTCCATGGCTCTGTCTTCCAGGAAGTGCTTCCATGGCTAGTGGAAAACTTCAAGCATCAAGACTGGTCAAATCGGGAGGCGGCAGTTCTGGCCTTGGGCGCGATAGGTCCTGGCTGCATGGACAACATTACGCCACATTTGCCCGAGCTCATTCCACTTATGTTGGCATTGCTGAACGACCCTCAACCCGTTGTCAGACAGATCACTTGTTGGTCACTCAGTCGCTTTGCGTTCTGGGCAGCCCATGATCCGAATGCTCCGAGGGATCAGTTCTTCGAACCCCTTATGCAGGGTCTGCTGCAGCGCATGCTTGACCACAACAAAAAAGTACAGCAGTCCGCAGCTTCAGCTTTCGCGGCTCTGGAGGAAAAGGCCAACGCTGCCCTTGCTCCATACTGCACGATCATTCTTCAACACTTCGTCAAATGCTTTGGCAAGTATAAGGACAAGAACATGTACATCTTGTACGACTGTGTGCAGACACTGGCTGAGCATGCGTCCCCCAAACTTGCCGAGCCGGAGAACGTCAATCTACTTATGCCTGCTCTGATAAACCGTTGGCAGCATGTGCAGGATCAGTCGCGCGAAATGTTCCCGCTGCTGGAGTGCCTCTCATTCGTGGCCACCGCACTTGGTCCTCAATTTGCCCCATTTGCGGAGCCGCTCTTCAATCGCTGCATTAGACTCATCCAACAGAACCTGGAAGATGGTGCCAGCGCAGAGCAATCGTTCATGGACCAGCCGGACAAGGATTTCTTGGTCACGAGCCTGGACCTTCTGAGTTCGATCATTCAAGCCTTGGACGAGCAGCAAAGTGCCAGACTTGCCGGCAGCGCGCAGCCAAACATGTTCCAGATGTTGGCGTATTGCATGCAAGACTCGAGCAACGACGTCCGCCAATCGGCCTACGCCTTGCTTGGGGACTGTGCCATCTACATTTTCCCCCAGCTCCAGCAATACCTGTCCGAGGTACTCAACATTTTGATTCAGCAACTCGGGTTGAACGACGTGCAAAACGACCCAGAATCGACATTTCGTGTGATTAACAATGCTTGCTGGTCCTGCGGAGAAATTTCGATGCGGCAGAAGGAGGGCATGGCTCCATTTGTTGACAAGCTGCTGGAGAAGCTGGCTGTCATTATTTTCAGCAACGAAGTGCCAGAATCGCTCAACGAAAACGCAGCAATAGCTCTCGGACGACTGGGACTTGGCTGCCATGAACAGCTTGCGCCCCACCTTGCCAACTTTGCGCCGGCCTTCCTCAAGTACATGCAGAAGGTGGCGTGGACAGACGAGAAGGGTCACGCGTACAAAGGCTTCTGCAAGGTCGTTTTGGACAACCCTGCCGCCCTCGAACAGTGTCTCCTGGACTTCTTTGGTGAGATCGCCAACGCCCACGGTGTATTCCTGGCTAGCATGCAGGAAGATGGGCCACTTCAAGACTTCGAGCAGGTCTTGATGAAGTACAAGCAGATGATCGGTAGCGGCTTCGACGATTATCTGCACAATCTCCCACCAGCACAGGAGATGGCTCTTCGTCAGCTGTACTCCCTTTAGGAGAGGGAGTCAGCTGTGGCGACGTTCACGGCCCCACGCTACGCCTATGCATTTGCGGGATGATAGCGCTCGGTCGCTCGAGGCTGGCGGTGCTCCAACACATCTACAACACAGCAATTTTGCTCGGCGTTGTTTGCTTACGATACCAATTTAGATAGCGAGGTCTTCGGTGTAGCGTTCTTGTTTTTTATTCTCAGCGTAGCATCTGCTCGCATTAGGCGGCAGCGTCAAAAGAATGTCATGGCACGGCGTTTGGTATGAAGACGGCGCAGTCGCATCTGGGGGCGTGGCGGCCTGAGTATTGCTGGAGGATGCAGATCGGAGACTGCGTCTACGCGGAATGACCATACGAGGAAAAGTACAGCGGGAATATATTTGCTGGGAAGTGACAGATGATGGGCTACATCCAGGCGGAGGAGGCTCTGAAGCTGCTGCGCAGGAGTAGCCGCGCGCCAGCAACGGCGCTTTTGGAAGCGTTGCGAACATGTAGATAGCGCCATAGCTCGTCAATGATGGGCTCGCAGGAGCGACGAGCAATGAAACATGCCATCGACACTTCCAGACGCGTGTTTCACGTTCGACAGCGGCACATGGAGAGTCATGGCCAAAGTGGTACAGCAGTGATTGATCTGCAGAGCGACAGCCACGATCGACCCCACTCCGGCCAACCCTGCTTGGCATCCGTGCGGTCGTCAGCGTCAGCGGTGTTTGTCGGTGGCACAGTCGACAGGCGGCAATGGCGATGGCGGTGGTGGTGGTGGTCGATATGCCATGAGATTCCTGTTCACGTGCTGCTATACTTCACAGCAGAACAGAACAGAACACACGCAGACTGCTGCAGCGAAGTCCGCGAAGGCACGTGTGTCCCAGGGAATTAGGCGTCGATCCACGCCCGACTGCCAATCGCAAGCGGCGGAAGGAGTCCCCATAGCGTCACTCAGGCCCAGCCAACGGACTGACCCTCTCGCTCTCACCTCACGCCGCACGCATACGCACACCCACCCACCGACGCCGTTGCATCACCCCAGCGACCGCGCTGGGAATCTTGGGAACTTGCATTCGCCGGCCATTGAGGGCGACATTGGCGATCCGCCCGGAGCATTGTCAGCCCAGCGCCTCAGGAACGCCCGCGTGTGTCCGGACGGAGGCACCACCTACCTACTTTGTTTTGGCTGCCACTGCCTTCTACCACCTCCTCCGCCAGCATATGGCCACAGCACGATAATCGCATAGCACTTATACCACGACCACCCGCGCACACAGAACGAAGCCGCTTGCGCACGCATTCACATGCCCATGGCGCAGGCTGCGCTCGGGTATGATGGTTCGCCTTCCACAACTCTGGCGACATCCCTCGTGGCCGCAACGACGCCTGTCATGACCACGACCGGAGTACATGTGGAAGTCGACCGACAACGATGGCATAGACATGGCGACAAGTGGGCGGAATGGAGGAATTCACATCAGACCATCCGCGCCGTCGGACTCGGCAGTACCGGTAAAGGCATACTGATAGGAATGCTGTCTGCCTTTGGCTCTGCTGCCCTGGTCGGAATTATCATTGCCATTGTCTACTTCTTCAGATACACCAGCCGTGGTCGAATCTTCCTGGATCGCATATCACGCCCAGGAGAGTTCGACGATGAGCAGAGCTTCTTGCGCGAGGAGGAAGAAGCCCTTGCCGAGATGGACGACTTACAGCGAGCGGAATACTTCAGAGCCAAAGGTGAGAGACCTGATTTCATACGCACCTGTGGCGCATGTCGCTGACTTAGTCTCCAAACAGCATTCGTACAGCACAACCCCCCGGAATCCGTACAAACCGACATATCGTTATCACAATTCTTGGCGATACAAGAGAAGGGAGTCTCAGCATGGGAGTTCGAGCCGGAACTGGAGATCGCCAACTGCTTCGTGGAGGCTAGGACAGAGATTGAGTTCTTTGATTCGGAGTGCAGTGTACAGAGCAACCTGCCCATTCCGAAGCAGAACGAGGTATACTACTGGGAGGCCAAGCTATACGACAAACCAGATTCGACACTGGTGAGCATCGGGTTAACGACGAAACCCTACCCGCTCTTCCGACTCCCTGGACTGCACAAATACTCCATTGCGTATCTATCCACAGGTCAACGCAAGTTTAATCAGCCCTTCACCTCGACAAATTATGGACCTCCATTCGTGCAAGGCGACGTCGTCGGCGTTGGATACAGACCTAGGACTGGGACAATATTCTTCACGAGGAATGGTAAGAAGTTGGAAGATGTTTGTCATGGAATGAAGCTGCACAACTTCTTCCCCACGGTTGGAGCGAACGGACCTGCAAACATCCATGTGAACTTTGGGCAAATGGGCTTCGTCTTCATCGAGGCGAACGTAAAGAAGTGGGGTCTTGCACCAATGACTGGCAGTCTAGCGCCGCCTCCTCCATATGGTAGCGAAGCCGGCAGCATACTCCTCGAAGGCGGCCGTGAGGGCGTCAGAGAAGGAATGGGATGGGCACCTGGACATGGCAGATCACATAGTGGTGCGATCAGATTGCAAGGCCGACCTACGAGGAGTCCAGGACCAGAGCGCTCGCCTACGGACATTTCACTTGCACAGCTCAATATTTTGGACATGCAAGATGATGTGGAAGAAGAGGAAGAAGACGTTGGAGAGGGCACGAGTGAAGCTGCAAGCAGTCAGATCTATATGAACCCTGGCCTACCATTGGAACCTGCAGACCATCCACCTCCAGACTACGAAAGCCCAGACGAGGACGAGAACGGAGACGATGACGACGACTCGGACATGACAGCCCGACCTCGTGCCGGAACAAACGCTTCAGAATACAGTGAGCGGACCAGATTGCTGCACAATTATAGCCCGCCCATTCCTACCTACGAAGCGGCAGTCAGCGATGTCGAAGCCGGTCGGGGTAGGAGTTCGACCAGAACGCGTCCGAGAAGCGAGTCATGACACGACACACAGAAACTGAAGCAAGCGAGCATAATCCTTTAATCGAGGAAATAGTACTGTTTTCCGGGACCGGCGGGCGTTTATGGGGAAATTTTTCTCATCTTTTTTTGCATGACACATATGGGCGGAGCGCATGAGTAAAGCGTAGCAACCAGCAGCGGACCGATTCGATGAGAGAGGATATCGAAAAAGGGGATTTCTCTGAAAAGAATTGAAATTATTCGAGGATGAAAGGGAGAGACTGAGGGGAGGCAACTATACCCTGCGAAAGCTTTTGAGTTGTGTTGAGCGGCTAATGGAAGCGCTGTACCTACCAAAATTTCGCTTGAGCCTTGTCTATTGCCTCGACTCGCTTACGGCAGCTACGATGCTCCTTGAAGTGTTGCTGCGGTTTGTGGGTTGGAATGGGATAGACGGGGGCAATTTATGAATATTATGACGAATGCAAATGGAGAGACTTTTGATCGAAGCTGTCCTTTGGAGTTGGAGGCGGGCTTCAGGGTGGAGGTGTTGTCGACGATTGCTTGCTGCCAGCTGACTAGCGAATAGCTCCACGTCGACCAGCTTGGAGTTTCAGTTGAACGATATGAATGCGATCAGTGGTGTCCTAGACCCTTCCTAGCGATCCCAACGAAGGACAAATGAAGAGTGACGACACCGGCTCGCGCATAGTGTGAGCGTAGAGGCGTACATGAATAAGGCAAGTTGGGCGCAGTCCCTCACATCCAATCCTCAACACTCTTTCACTTCCGCCATCAATAATCACGGGTGCATCATGACAGCTGACTGCATGACCACCTGGCGCGGGTCCGCCGACTC